AGGGACCGTGGGGGGAACAGCAGGGAGGGCCACACCAAACGGGCCCTCTTCATCACTCTGCGTTTTATTCTCCTAATCAAGCTCCCATTGACGGAGCCGGTGCCGCACTGATTAGCGTCCCCTCGCCTCCAAACCCACTCTTTCTACGCTGGTAATTATCTTTACTGCCGTTTGCACAAAGCATTACGCAGATATTGTCCTTGACACATGTTGTTGCGGTGAAGGGGGAAGTGGATGCAGTCACCTGGGAAAGCTGGAATTCAATTTGGGGAAAGATGATGTTTAGCAAATAAAATGGTGCAGGTTTGGTAATTGGTTACTGTGATGTACAAGTTTTATTAGCTCAATATTTGTTCAAATTGGGTGGAAAATAGTTTGAATTTTCTTGAGCTGAGGACTGTTAATTAGACTGAAATTAGAGTTTTTGAAGTTTAAACTCTTTACTTCTGTAATTCAACTTACAATGTGAAACTAATATATGACAGACTCATGCTCACATGCTAAATGGTCAAGCCTTTATTTTTTATAATGTTGGCTCGCACTGGTAATAACGACAAATAAAACATCTCAGAAAAGTAGAATAATTTGAAAATAGCATTCATTCATTCATTTGAATCCCCTTTAGTCAATTTCTGGGTTGGGGGGAGCATTTAGTAGCCTGACTCTCGCCAGACCCATGTAGTTCACTGCACTTCACACATGAGTCCGGTACTGAGCCATAGTGGTTGGATTTCAGAAGGCAGGGCCTTGGATAGACCACTTGTCCGTTATCTTGAATGAAGTCTGCTTTCAACCACTCACATCGAAGCACACGGCTCCCATAGGTTGCCAAATCCCAGCAAGATTTTCCAACCCAAAATCCATGAGAATACCCAAAAAAAAAAAAACACTTGTCTTTCTGTTTTTTTAATACCTACAAGTCTCTTGGAAAAAAATATGCGGGAACCACCAAACCTGGCAACCCTGCTGCATAGTGTGTAAACAGGAACACTGAACCAGTGCTTCAACCAAACTTTACAGGAACATTTGACTCTTAAAACACATATATCAACATAGAACCATCAACATCTCGCTTCAAATTGCATTAAAAGTGACATCCGTGTCTTAATTTGATTGTATTTACTCTTTTAAAAAGATTCGCGGACTTTACGTCCGCCATCTTGGATTCCTCTCGCTACTGCATGAGAGAAGCTTGAGAAGGCAGTGCAAACCCCACGTAACACCGGCAATCCTGATTGGTCGATTAAAAAATAATCTGGGGAAGGCGTTTGCTATGGCGTCGATACCAGACCCATGTGGTTCAGCCAAATGCCTCTGGTGGAGCATGGCTGAACTACAAGGGTCTGGCAGAGCCAGGCTAAGCATTCAGTGCTGCCGCCCAATCCTCATAGCACTGGACCCTCACAGATCCTCCATGGACACAACAACAGCAGACATCAGTGGGAGCAGGTGAAATGGGTCACGGGAGGAGCGAACCCACGACCATTAGGTTAAAAGACCAATGCTCTTTGTCGCCCCAATGTAAATCAGAATCATTTTAATTGGCATGTAAGTAACAGGAAGTCACAGACTAGGAAATTGCTTTGGCTCTTAAAATGGCATGTAAAGCAAAACAAAACAAAAAACAAAAAAAATCTTTATCATACTGTATATTGGTTTCACATATTTACAGAACTTAGAAAACTACATTTATTATATCTGTAATTGCCAATGGTTCTATATTTCTTTTATCATTACATTTCCTGTGTTTGAACTGTTTGATTTTCTGATCTGTGTTGGCGAGTCCTCTGAGATAACTACTGGTGTGATTTAAATTGAATTGAATTTAAATGGAATAGTCTTATTGTCCGAGTTGTACTCGTACAACCCCCACGTCAAGTTATATAGTAGTGAGGCGGTTAAGAAAGAAATTGTGCTCTTTGGGTTGAAAATGTGCCTTGATTGTGACTTTACCCTTAGAAAATGAGATCTCTTTCAGTACTCTTGGTCCATCCATCATTGAGTTATTCTCAAAATGGGATGACTCTCATGTTTAGCTTATTCACTGAGCTGATGTTGTCAAAAGCACATCTCTGTGTGCTCTGGCATTTACTCTCCAGCTGTCTTTGTTACAAGTAATCTATCTTTCCATTAGACAATCATGTGATGGACTGCCGTTTAGATTGCTACAATAAAATCCCCATGCTTCTCTTCAAATGTGAAATGGACCCACTTCTTCATAATGGTGTCATGTTTGCAGAATGCCGCAGGTTTCTCTGAGATGCGTGGGTTAGGCCCTAATGACTTTATTACTGGTGACTGTTGTGAGCAGTGCAGTGTCATCTCCTCTTTGAGCTCCATGTTGTAAGCCACATATTGGATTCTTTCCCTCTCTTTAGCCATGTAAATCCTAGTTATTGAAACTGGGCCATATAATTGAGATGCAACCTTTTTTGCCTACATTCTTCTTTTTTGACTTTGACTTTTTGATATTTGATTTAATTAATGATAAGTATATAAGTGGCCCTCTGACCACCACCAATCATTTATGCACACACCAGCCAATAAAACGGTTACTAAGTTGCTAAATTCTAATCAGTAATCAATCCATTAAAATGAGAATATTTTTCAGTAATCAAAAACAGACTTTTCAATCTCTGAGGACTTACAAAGCCGTCTTTCGCCAACACAGATCATCGCCAATAGTTCAAACACAGGAAATGCAAAACAGAATAGAAACTGGGCTCCAAAAGAGATAGTTCCAGCCATCAGTCATAGAACACAAGCAAATATAGTAATCAACATATCAGCAACATGTCTGAGTAAAGAAGAAAAAGACTTGCCTATGCCCTTATGACCTCTCAAGAACAAGCCTTCTCATCTTTCTTCAAAAGAAGCCCTAGCTAACTGCTTTCACTCACTGAAAATGACTTTTCTTCACTTAGCTCGCATTTGTTTCTTCTTCGTTAAAGTGCTCCACTAAAAAGGCGTGGGCGTCCTCTGTTAACCGTCCGCTCAAACCAACCTGGTGGCAAATTCAATTAGCTTCACACGCTCCACTCGCTCGGGTCGCATTCAGCCTGGCTTTCTTCCCCATTACTTCTGACTGACAAAATCTTTCCCCGATGTTAAAGAAAGAATCAGGCGAGACGTGCCGGTTTCAGAAAGGTGCTTCTGATTTGCGACGTGCCGGGAGGAAAATTGTCCCTTTGATGGTGTCAATTGCTCACTGAGTGGAGGTTGAACAGATGCAGAGTTAGATGTTATCGCGGGTATGGCGTGAACAGGAGACGAGGGAGGGGGGTTCTTGTGCCAACGTGATTCTTTCCGTCGTCTGTGACCGCTTTTGAAGTTGCAGGAAAGTGTATTAGAGGGTTAGCGTGTTGGGATCTTAGCAGAAAATGTGATGTCTCACTCAGTCATCATGGTAAATGTTGGGGGGAAGCTCATTGCTAAGATATTTACAGTATGCAATCAAAACACAACCACATTTTATGAGAATGTATGTAACTTTATGGTTCTGGGACTGGAATATTTTTCTGATGTTTGTCGTAGCATAAAGGATACATTTTCTTGCGGACTGTAAACTACCTTCCTGGATATAAGGAAACGTTGATGCTTTGCCTGAAATACAGCAGTAGCATTAAATTTCTGCAGTGTTTTAACTGCAAAGATAAAAAGGTGTCACCTGTTACCTATGGACTCCTATGCAAAGTAATGTACAGTATTTTATTCTACCTCAGATAATAAAAATACCAAAGCTTGTGTATATGTTTTAATTTCCCTTGAGAAACACAAAAACAAACATGGTAGTGTGTGGCAGGCAAATAGTAATTATCAGCTGTCTAATATTGGGGTGGTGGATATGCTCAAGGCCACAAGTAAGAAAAAATATCAATTTCAGGTCATGATCAATATACGGTATACCAAAATGAAATGGGAAAAACTGGTTGTAAAATTCAAGAAGGATGACTAAACGCTGAAAATCCACAACCACAAACTGCATCCTGAACCCTAATGACACCCCCTGACATGGAAGTCTTCTATTACCTCTATCAGGACGTCCCTTGTCACCCATTCACCCTCACCCCAACCCCCGAACCGCGAGTATCATGCTGTGTCTCCTCCCCGCACGACCACTCTGCCTTGTATCGATCTGCCGTCGTCTCCTTCAAATGAAAATAGATCTATTTTTTCCCCAGGGCGCCGAGCGTGTCATTCCACCAGCTGCTATTCTTTTCTCTGTCCGCAGTCCGAGATTCTGCACAGATATGCTCCTCCGCTGATGGGATGGACGGGTGAGGGAATGAGAACAGCCTGAAGATTCAAATCGATCAGCAGCCCACAGTGAATGAATAGGCTGAAGCTTGCCCTCACTGCTCACTGGAACATATTTGCCTTAAGACTTCAGAATTAATCTTCCAATGTTTACCTAGGTGTAAAGCTTTTAGAATGATGAAGAAAGACAGAAACATTTGTAAAAGAAAGATAAATATTTTCAGCCATACGGTTTATAACTCTGGTCTGACTTCATTTATAAGCAGACGTTTTGCTGCCAGCTCGGTAGCTTTTCAGAGCTTTATTATAGATGCATCCTTCGCACTGCTCTTTCCCTGGTGTGAGAGAGCTTTTGACCATCGACGGTCTTGTACCAACAAGAAAGTATCCTTCCCGCCAAAAGTTTACCCCGGTTTTAAACAGGAAGCTGAAACTTAGAGTACAGGTACAACATTATTGCATGCTTCAAGTCCAGGTTCAGACTATGGTTGGTTCAAAATGTGTTGATGAAGTATTTGGTAAATATTAATTTGTTTATCAATTGAATACAAATGAAACGTTCCTCGGCCACATTAACAAACATGCAGACCTTCAACTGGCAACAGTCCGGTGGATGGGCACACACTCAACACAGTCCACTTCCACAAATAGCTTTTTCCTTCTTGCCAAACATCACCAATTTTCCCACAGCCCTCCCCTGAAGACTTGTTGATCTAATCCAGATGTGTGCACTTTGCCTCCAGGTGAATTCGTGGAGAGGCAGCTGTGTCGTGACGCCATCCTGCCCATGCCCGCCATCTGCGAAGTGCCTTGCCCAAAAGACTGCGCCCTGAGTCCGTGGACGCCCTGGACCCTCTGTTCCAACACCTGCTCTGGGAAGAGCACGGAGGGCAAGCAGACCAGGGCCAGGTCCATACTGGCCTACAACGCTGGTGAAGGTAGAGTATAACAACTACCATAAGCAGAATGTTCGTTTTTGATCATGATCCAACATTGTTCCCTCGTCAAAAAAAGACCTGGAGTTGGTTTCGCTCCATCCAGACTGTTGAGAAACTTGAGTCTCACAATCATGTATAATAATATGAATCTTTAAACAACTCCAGCTAATATTAATCCTCCAAGAGATGTCAGATGTAGAGATGTCAATATTGACCAATCCTAACCATTATCACACTGTAATACTATTTAAGGTACTTTATGCAAACCTAAAGTGCTCTATTTTGCACTAACCTTTTATTCACTAAAAACGTATGGGAATTTTGTGCCCCAGTGTAGGAAAGTGCAACCGTGTTTTTCAGTGTCTTGCCATATACATTGTCTTGTTTTCAGATCATTCCTGGTGACTTTGACAGATGCATTTTATCCTCTTTTTTTTTTTTCAAGGTCATGCAAGACCGATATAAGAACTATAAAAATTAAATGTGTGTAAGAAGATGGTATAGCCAATCCCTCACAGAATACCGGGTTGATACTTATTATATGCCTGTTGAACTGCATGACTACACGTCTCACTTCCCTTTTTGCACCGCGAGCCAAATGTCAGAGCCGACTGAATAATTCTGTGTGTTCCGTGCAGCAACGGCTAGGGTTTGTTGCGGCTCTTCGTTATGCAGGGCAACGAGAGCTAGCAAAACAAGCCTAGCGTTAGCATTCAGAAAAGTTCCTCAAGGTTCTAGTCATTTGCTTTCCTCCAAGTTCTACCCCCGCCTTTGTCTGTGTGGCCCTACTTTGGTCCATGTTTATTTGATGTCATTAGCCACAACCGCCCTGTGTTTCAGACTGATGTAGTAATTGATTTGAAAATTTAGTCGCTTGATGTATTAACCATTTGCAAACGTAGCTCTTTTCCCTTTAGCACTTGACTTGTTTTCAGGGCTAGTTCTACTCAAAAATCACACTATAAGCATCTACATTGGGCCCAGGACATAAAAAAGCCTGTTGCCTCACAAATTATGCAATATTTTACATTGCAATGCCAGCCAACTGTATTACTATTAAACCGTAATCTGTTTTTATTATGATTGTTTAGGTGCTAACCCCTACAGATGTAAATGTGTTTCTCAAGGAAAACACATGTCTCAGTCATCTCACCTTTCAGAATGTTCCAGAATGACGCCATGGATTCTCACAAATGTTGACAAAGAGAACTCTGCTTGTTCCAGCTAAAATCTAGTTTCAAAGGGTTCATTAAAATCTATGAATAGAAAAAAATCAATCAATTAATTCACCAATCCTTTTTGAAGACTTTAATGTAGTAACTTCAACTTTGGAACTTTGTTTAACGGTATTTCAATATTTTTTGCCATACAGTAGATGTTATTTATTTTTTGTTTGGTTTAAAACATACATTCCTCAGTCATAGTTTAATTTTTACAGAAAGAATACTTGCCTCTCCACACACATACAGTATAACTTACACATCTAACTTACCCTCAGTGAAGTCGCATGCCTGTTTTCAACATCAAATTAAAGTTTAATGACAAACTTTATAACTATCCAGTGAAAAAACAACATTTAGATGAACCCAAAAAGTAAGCAGCAGTTGATGAACCATATTTGAAGAAACACACTTCTGGTATGTATCATGTATCATGTATGGTACTGTTAGTATCAATGGTTCTTGTAATTGTTAAAGTGTTTTTATTAAGAGATGCTTCAGAAAAAAATGTCATTAATGTGCCCCAAACTGAGAACTGCTGCCACATAAGTACATAATGGCCATCTAAGCGTTTTTGGAATGATATTAGTAAAGTACATGCTATTGGGACGTCAGCCAGCCCTACACCCTTCTGCCAATCACCAACATTCTCACTTTAGCTCATCGGTGGGGCGTCACAGATGGTAAGCGTCTCTTGGCAAGCCATCACAATTTCTCTACTTCACTTCCCTGCTTGCCTTTCCGACGTCCTATACACGTTTAACATGTTGTTTTTTGGCATGGGAAATAGACCACATACCTTCCCTCATGCATAATGAATTTTTCGTGTGCGAAAGAAGTTAGTAAGTGCAAGACGGCATAAGATGTCCGCGCCAGATCTCCTGGTTTTGAAGTTGCCGTTCAGGGGTTGATGGTATAGGTAATGGGGAGTGATAAAGTATTTGCAGTATAAAGGTTGTGAATGCAAAGCCCCCCCTGGCCATCTGCTGCACAGGAGTGGTGGGTGGAGATCAGAGAGTTCCCAAACAGAAGCCTGCGGTATTAAAGATGCTCCGAAGATGTCTGCAAACGAAAGGTAGCAGGTGGACTGTAAAAGGTATCTCGCACGTATACCGTAGGTGTAGGTAGACTGACATTTAAGTAGGATTCTCTATTCTTAGATGCGGAAGCCAGATGGTTTAGCAAAGTCTGTTTGCTCTGATTGTTGTTGTGATAGATATCAAAGCAAAAAGGCAATAATCAACGTTGTAATGTTCTGTAAGCGATTTTTGACGATATATAGAGGAGTTATTCAAGATAAATTCATTGTACTTATTCAGAATACCGTTTCATGACATTGACAATCATTTATGATAAATTACACATCATCAATAAGAAAATAACTGTTAGCTGCAGCGCTAATTTGCCTCTCACTCATTTACATCTCCTTCCCCAGCACTGGTCACATGAAGCTTTGATACTGTATCTGCTAATTATTCAGGTGAAGAAAAATGTCCGCATTTACAAAAGGGATTAATGTCTGACAAGATTGAGCCAAGCAAATAACGTCATTATCCAAACTGCAAATAAAAGGAGAGGAAGAGTCCGAAGCAAATTACAATGGTCTCAAGTTGAAAACCATTGCACGAAAGGCATGTTTGCAGTAATTGGTAGCACTTAAATATTTATTCATTAGCAATTTAATTAAGCTTTGTAGCAATAATGGTGTGTACTTCTGGTAATGAGGTTCTGGTCTGACAAATGGCTGCTCTAATGAATTCCAATATTATGGGTAATGAATGTCCCTCCAAAGTACAGCCATGTGTAGGACATTATACTTTGTTACTTCTCTGGGAGAAGAGACTTATGTATTATTGTTGCTCCCAGTTTATGAGCATGTAAGTAGGTAATCTTTATTTATATACCGCCTTTCACAGACCTGAGTCACAAAGCGGGGGGTAGATGTTTTTAGTGGTAGGGGAAATCGTAGCACCCGGAGAAAACCTACTCAGACACGGAGAGAACATGCAAACTCCACTCAGAAAGGCTCTGTTCCGACTGGGATTCGAACCTAGGATCTTCTGAGAAGCAAGAGTGCTATCCACTCAGCCACCGTGCCGCCCGATGTATTGTGTGTTTAGATCCTTATCTAAACTCGCACTATTGCTAATGCTCTTGATACATCCTGAAAAATGTATATATTGCACCAATGTAAATAGTTGGTGCAAAGACTGAACCTTGAGGAATACCCACAATAATGTAATTGGATATAATAAATAAATTCAGTTTAGCACATAATTAAATAAAACTTATTTTGCTTAGATTCATTTGTGTGCAATGTCTTAATTTGTAGACATTTAACCATTTTAAGACATTACCCAAATTATTTTTCCAATCACCAATAATGGTTGTTTGGGTAATTCTGCATTGATCTGCACTTAATGCTTTAGTGTTAAGAAAATGTCTAGGTTTTAACGGAAACTTACAATTTTACCAGAAATTCAATCATCAGACATTTAAAAGAGCCAGTTTTAAAAAAAACACACAAATTCTGTTACAATATGGGTTATATAATTATTTGATATGCCCTTAGGCAAATTTGTTCTCTGCTTTCGACCCATCCTCCAACCTGTTAGGAGCAGTGGTTGCCAGTGCAGCGCCTGGGGACACATCTCCAGATGCTGATGCTCGGCTTGATTGTCAGAGCTGTGGCATGTTTCAGGTGGTGGGGGATATCAGAGCTGAGAGGAAAACCACCCAAACACATTAAATAACATTCAAACTCTACACGGAAACACCCTGAAGCGCCGTAGAAATCTGCTCATAAGATTTCCTATAATATTTCAAGATTAAAGAAAAAAAATATATTACGGAAATGTGTCTGGCATATTATGATACCAATTAACCTAAAAATATATAAATGTCTACCAAATTAGTAAGTTTTAAAGCAAACCTTTGCGTTAAAACCTCCATCCTTAGTCAAAAAGGCATTAGTGCAGACAGAGGCAAGTGCTTCATCACTGCTTAAGCCTCGTGTCTGTTGCTAATGGCCGACCTTCTTGTGAGGATTTCTCTCTTCTCAAGGTGACAGCTTCTAATGACCAGGCGGGTGTCGCGCAGGGGTCACCATAGACTCCGCCACACCTGGGCCCGCATCACTGCTGCAGGCGATGTAAAGACGAGGCTGCCCTGGGGTCAGCAGCCCTCCGTCATCGCAGACCTTCACTGCACTTTATTTAGCTCGCTGCCTGTTTCCTCTGTTTCTATCCACTCCTGCGCACGCAGGCTTCTGCAGGACGCTCGTAGCTAGAGATTGATGTAGTCATCCATTACCTCTGGTCAATCGAGTCATCTGTTCACTAAATATGCAGAAAAACAAACATCCACAAATACATATTGAATTTGTTTTAGAAAAAGTATGACTCATATGTTGAAGTTAAAACCAAGGAATTTCTTTGTGAAATATGTCATCTTCAGTGCAGTTTGACAATTACAGCTTCAGCAATGTACATGCTACTATTGCATACAGTACAATACAGCAAAATGATCCCAGTAAAGCAATTATAAATGTATCAATTTAATTGAATGCATGTGCCAAGACAATAACCAGCAGAGATAGGTAGTAATTTGTCATATTGAATCCTATAAAATGTCATGGTTTTATAATGAAAACTGGAGAGTCTAACATCTCTCCACCGTAACAAAGACAGTACACAGACAATCAGTATTTATGCCCCACAATATATTTATCCATCACTTATTGAGTCAATAAAGTAATTATTGTAACAGGCGTACGTGTGAGTGACTTTCAATTAAGTTTTTTTTTCTTTCAGCCAAAATCTCATCATTAGTCGTCTTGAAGGATGACGGATAATTGTCAATTCACTGACCGCAGATTCAAAAATAAAACAATGAGAATACATAAGACATACAACAAATAGAATTAAAACATCTAAAAGTTAGCCAATCATCTGGATCATATCCTGTCCATAGATCTCACTGCATAAGCAGGGGAAAATAAAAAAAAATGTCTCAGTAAATATATTGAAGTTAACAAAACGATCATATTGTAATCCAAGCGTTTTGTTATTGAGTCATTTAATTAATTAGATTAATCGTTTCAGCCGTATTCTGTTATTCATACTACGGCTGCACGATATTGGAAATAAGAGCAATATTCCATATGGATGTTCATTATTTTGATATTTTTACGATATTTTTTTCTTTCACTTGTTTTGAACCGCAAGAGACGAATCTAAAACAAAACATAAGTACAACATTAATTACTTTGAAATGCTGTATAGCACACATATTAACAAATCTTGCCTAAATTTGACAATTCCAGAATTACAAATATTGTGGCAATCATTTAGAAACAATTTTGCTTCCTCCAACCACATCACATTTTAGTTTTTGTATCTATCTCCGGTCTCCGGTCAAACTCCTTTGCCAGGTCCAAAAAAAACGTTTTTACACACGCTTCAGGAGCTACAGAAGCGACACTGTCATTGATGCTCGTTGGGGCATTTGCCTTTTGTTTGACCGGAGGATGTGGAGTTCGAGATTGTATATACACAATTCCTCTCTGCATTCATCTGCATTTGTCTCCTCATCATTCGTCATGCTTGTTTTGTTTCTTTGTGTGCTTCACTCTAGTGTGTGGCGGCACAAGGTCGCAGCAGATTCGTCAAAGTGCGTGTACAGGAAATGTATACATAAATATTTCAAAATTATCACACATCTATCAGATATGGATATTGCACGTACCAATTAAACAGATGTATTATGGTTACAACTCTGCGCAAAATGTCTGTGATTTGGTTTGATTCTTCTGAGTGAGGTGGTGCTAAAGTAGATATTTGTGGTCCTGTTCCAGTTCAAGCCCAGTTATTCTGCAGGGCTGTGTCTTTCTCATCCAAGTCCAGCTGGAGCTCAGAGTGGAGCCTCAGACCAGCCCAATGTGCACACTTGTGAGCCTTGTGTGTCTCCTCCACAGGCGGTATCCAGTGCCCAAACATCAGCAGTCTCCAGGAGGTGCGCATCTGCAACGACCACCCCTGCACGGTGTACCACTGGCAGACCGGACCCTGGGGCCAGTGCATCGAGGACTCCTCCATCCCGGCGGGGAACACGTCTGTGGGGAGAGCCAGGGGCGACGACAACTCCTGCTCCATCGGCATGCAGACGCGCAAGGTCATATGTGTGCGCGTCAACGTGGGACAAGTGCCGCCCAAGAAGTGAGTGTCAGGGAAAGAGGGGAATGTATTTCTTTACCGTTTTTCCTTCTCTTTCCTTTTTTCTTTGGTTCTATCACTTTGTTCCAGCACTAATTTTATGCTTTTTTGCATTAGTATATACATAAGACACACTTTCTTGTTGCAGGGTAACATTAGCTTAGTTGGTAGAGCATTGGCCTTTTAGCCTGAAGGTTTGAGCCCACCAAGACTTTCTCCACCAACTCCCACAGATGTCTAGTGTCGTTGTGTCCTTGGCAAGACACTTAACCTCTGGGAACAACAGGTGCCACAGTGGGAGGGCTGCGGCTGTAAAGTGCCAAACTGCCATTGTGTTCATTAGGCAAGGCTCTTCATCCAAATTGTCCGGTGTGCCGTGAGAAATTCGCCTACTTTGTCTTAAAATAAATGCAACCACCGTAGGCGAGTGCTGACTTGTTCATATCAGTTGGTGGCAGCAGATAGTTAAGTACTTTGAAACTTCAGAATTGGACGCAACCACAGGATGCAACAGGGAGCATGTGGCGAGAAATGTAAGAATTGGATGCGACCAACAAGTGTAACAGGTAGTGGGGAGCATTGTGGCGAGTGAGAAGTGAATGTGATTAAGACATTTTTGAAAAGGAATTATGCCATTTCTGAACAGGATTCACATCCTCCGTTCTGACCTCAGGGCAGCTGTGGCCTTTGACAACAGCTCAGCGAATGCACATCCGCGAGCCATAGATGCATGGACAGACGCGTGGACAGAATTACTGGTGCGCAGACAGAACCGTGGACACGTGGAGTGGAGTGGAGCTAGTTAGTGCTACTTTATTCCCAAACTCTTGTTTACTCATTGTATTGAGAAATATTAAACAAAACTTAATGTCAAAGCCTGGATGTTTATTTAAGCACTTTGATGAGAATCACGTTTTATTGTGAACATAGGCTACAGAGAATGTGCCTTGGCTCAAAAAAGGTTGAAACACACTGGCCTAGAATAAGTTTGGTGTGTGTATCGGAGGGGCCGATGGCACTTACGCCTCGCTTCTATCAGTATGCCCCAGGGCAGTAGTAGTTAATCACCACCGTATATGGAGTGAATAATGACATGTGAAGTGTGGAGTGTCCAAAAAAGCGCTATATAAAATGCATTATTGTTATGTTTGTCCCTGTTTCTCTCAACACCAAAATATCTTTTCTTTTTTGTCAATAAAAGCCTGTCTATATTGTAAGTGCTTTTATTTTTTTTGTACAGTTTGCAAAAAATTGGTCTAATCAGCATGTGTGTGTGGAGGCCAACACAAGTTTGGCACAGTTATTATTTCTCGTTATAGTAATCCCCCTGGACGATCAACACGACTGAAAAACTGCTCATATTCTGGTTAAAAACTTAATAGACGGCTTATTGGGACATAATGCACATTAAATCCCTAACAGAGTTCTTTAGTTTTAATGAGTAATTCACTTTAATTAGTTCTAAGAATTTGGTAGGAGTGATTGAAATGATATTATTTCATGATTGGATTTCATAATGATAGGAAATCATTGCCGAAGAAATGAACAATGAAACAAAATCCATCTGAAAGGAGAATAGTTTTCATAATGTCGCCCTGTAAAAGATAACTAAAAGTGCACAAGAAACCGCTGTGCTAATATTTACGTAATTAGGTTGTGGTTGACAGTTTACACACAGGAAAATAAATGATTTGTTTGAGTATGAATGATAACACTTTTCACTCATTGTTAGTGGTTGTGTGAAGGCATTTGTCATATATATGGTTTTCAAATTGTAATGCCAACAGAAACTCCTCTTCTGACCCTGTCTCCATCCCCCAGTTCTCACATTTATCAATAGTGTATAATTAACATCTACAACAGCATGGAGTCTTTTGTGGTAGTTGTAGATTAGCTTCTTTCTCCTCTCTGATGGTAAAGCCGCCCAATCTTCTTGCCAAAAAGCTGCCAGTTTGTGCAAATTCCTGCTACTTTACATGAACTGCACGTTTAAGATCCACCCCGAGCCGGATCAATGATATCTTGTGTATCTGTCAATAATATTTGTGTTTGTGATATCATTCATTATTACCACGATATGAAATCTATGGCTGGGAGTGTAAAATTTGAAACACAAAAGTAGATACAAATGAAGTCTGAGCAGCTCTGAGCCAAATCCAGTTGTTACAGTGTTGTCTATTTCCTCTCGCTAAACAAATATGCTCCTTTTTGAAATATGCCCAGGACAAATCCGAGACATATTTTGTGCATAATAAGCTCCTTAATACGCCCAGCCCCTCCCTCCCTGGCACCTGTGCACACGTCTGCATAATTAACTTCCTTTTCTCTGTCCCTGAAGCAGAGGTGGTCACTGATGAGCTGCTTTGGCCAAAACCTTTTTTTTGTATTTTACCCTGGATCTGGGTCTCTCCGCTCCCTCAAGGCATCTGCCGGGGAACATCAATTATCTATTTATTTATGCAACGCAGCGGCCGCATTATCCCGGCAGTGCGCCCATCCCAGTGCCAGACCCCATGCCGCGAATGGAAATGAATGTGTCTTTATTTATCGCCACACTCGCACGTGAGTCCTACAACAGCTGCGGCCACGACTGCGCGGGCAGGACGTGACGGGCGAACCGCAGGATGAGACGTGTTCAAGCGGTAAAGCCGAGGGAAAGAATCCAAAAGGTCAGCATCGCAGTGCATTGTTAGACAGACATCTGAATCTGACATGACACAATATGGTTGAAGGCAAGCGGCAAGAAACGGCATGTGACTGGAGAAATACCCACAACAATGTACAGTAGATACGACACTCTTGCTTTAGAAGGCATTCGTCACGTGTAACAGGTTTGAAAACATGCATTTTGATAGAAAGGGTGGGGCGACTTGTTTGTGCACTGCAATAAATTGTAAAATATATATAAAAGTATAAAATAATAATATAAAATATAATAAAGGCTTCAATTGCATTATTATCTTGAGTAGTCTTCAAACAGGATTTGCCAATGAGAAAAACAGTTACAGCAGTATTACCTAACTTTGAGACCACAAAAAAACGTAGTATAATCCTAGTTATTATTAAACTTTATTACAGACACGAGGTCCAGATCAGAAAGACAACACACAAAAACAATAGCGTATTTTTATTTTTTTTGGCCTCTCTCACATCTTCAGAGCCCTCTTGACGCCAATCAGCTCTCAGTATCTAAAAGAGTCAATGTTTTGTATGTGGTGGTCTGATTTTTTCACAAAATGTTATGTGTTAAAACTCTTTCAGTTGTATATGTGTTTATGAAACAGGGAAAAAATGTTAAGTCGTAATTCAAACGCAGTTGCTAAGTATGCCTCAATCCAACAAAGGTTTTTTTTTGCTCGTCCCATTGCCAAATCATGTTTTTAGGCCGTCACAATTTACTTACATTTGACCTCATTCAAGCTATACTTCTGGTTTGCCCACTTTTTTCAGAATATTAGAGCTAAAAACAACTCCTTGTCTATGTTTAATAAGAAGGAGAAAGAGAGACCACTCTTTCCCAACATTACTTGTTTCACGAAGACAACATTTTGACCTATTATTATCTGTAAGTGCTGCTGTGCTTGAAGTACTGCTCAACTTTAGGTCTTTAAAAACCTTGACATGTAGTGTTGGTTTTTTTCCTCCTGGCCCTGAAGAGTTTTAGCATTGTTGTGATCTTTGACTGACCTTAAAAACAGACCTTAAAAACAAACATTTTATAAGCTCAAAAACATTTCTTGTTTTATAATAATATCACTCAATCACTGCATGTTTTTGAATGCCTTTTGGACAAAAAGTTTTTATTTATTACGATCCTGCAGTTGCCAACAGAATCCTTCATCCAGGCATTCATTTCTGTAGATATTAGATTTACAAACACATATACAAACCTCAATGATGCAAAATGTATAAGAAATAAAAAATAAATCCAAATCAAAACAGACTCCGATTGTACTCGTTGACAGAAGACATACAGAACAAGACTCCCACGCTCGCAACGCAACAGGGAGAAGTTTTGCTGTTGCTTAATCAGCTGCAAGTGAAAAACTCAAACTTTAGCCTAGAAATAATCCCACTAGGAATCCTAATTGCCACAAACTTTAGCATTGAAAAGTTTAAAATATCGTCCCTATTATGATGTAGTCTAAATAGAAGCCAACTTTTCTATGCTCCCAGACTATCCGCCCAGGCCCAGAATGGCATTATTATTTATTGCAGTCTAAAATAGCATGAAGAAATATGTGTGTTACCCAGGCCAATTTTTATACTTTAAAACTATGGTACCTAACTTTCAAAATTCACTTTCAATTCACTACTATACTTTTTGGGCTCTGTCACATCTGTAGATCAGTTTTTTCTGAAAAAGAGAATGACCCATCCAATCAGCTCTCAGCCCAATAAGTCAAGTCAGAGATGAGCTCCTTTCTATTTAGATCAAGTCAGTGCGTTGTGGTTTGTTCACTTTTTTTTTCTTTTCTGCTAGGGTCGAACAACATAAATGTAGGTACACAAACCAAATAGGAATCTATAAAACTATTACTGTTTTTATTTTTGTATTCTACAGGTCTTCAAACTTGTTCCCTTGACCACTTTGCGGCTCTCTGATTGGTCGCTGCACGAGCGTCTCGAGGAAACGCTCAGCAATATTTATCTACTGCGTGCGTCAATTTTCCGCTCCAGCGCCTCTACCGCGCCTTTGCCGCGCAGTCTGTGCGGCTCTACCGCGCAGTCCATGCGTGCATCCCGAGACGCACATGCAGTTCGACACTCGAACGCGCTTCACCATTGACTCTGCATTGAAAGTCGACGAAACGCATGATCCGGTGTTTAACCACCGTTATACACAAGCAGAGTTGCTCTAAAGTGCAGGGACCTGAGAACTGGACTGAAAAATAAGGAAATAAAATGGTCAAAATATTGTCCCCTTGAACTAAATAAGTATATTGTGAATGGTCAGTTTTGAGGTCCGTCTTCGGTCCTTCAAAGCCTTCTCGTAGCACGCCTCTCCTGGCCCTGGTCCAAGCCTCCTGCTCCACCGCCTGGTTTCTGTAACCGTGCTCTTGTTGCAGGTGTCCCGAGAGCCTGCGTCCAGACACGGTGCGCCCCTGCCTGCTGCCCTGTAAGCGCGACTGCATCGTGACCCCCTACAGCGACTGGAGCCCGTGCCCGTCAGCATGTCAGACAGGTAACGTGTGTGTGTGTTTGTGTGTGTGTGTCTGTGTGCGGGGTCAAACAGGGGACAGGGCAGTGCAAATGCAAGGGTGGTATGCTAATCTTGAGTCTCAATTAGCATTAAGGTAATCTGTGTCAAACATGTGACAAGTACAGTTTGAAGAAAGAAAATAGAAAAAGGGTTGTGTTCATGTGAGATCACAGCATGCCAAAGTCTGGTCTTTGTTTAGAGATAATTTCTTTGTAATTCCTGGGCCAATCCAAATGAAACTGTCCACACATGACAGGTTCTACATCTTCTTTGTTCTTGGGGTCTTGAAGTGGAGACAATATTCAAAAACACAATGTTGGCCCATAGTAAGGGCTTTCAGACTGATATTAAATTTGTAAATCTAATCACTATCAAATAATGAGCTGGGAAACATTTGGACATGTATATATATTTTTTTTCATGTTTAAATAATTGCTTTTTTCCCATGTAATTGTATCGCCACCTGCCCTCCGACTGAATTAGAATTCTAGAACATGATTGCAACCTATATAAAGTACTATGCTACATTTTCCAGGTCAGCTCATTAGAACAAAATATAAGGGACAGTGTCTTTTCTCAATGCAATCTTTTGTAACGTAACTCACACTTCTCTGCTATCTCCGGTGTTTGACGTTAAACTATACTTGGTAGTTAAGTATGAGATGAAGAGATCCTATATTTCATCACAAAGCTGTTTGTTTTGTTACCTTATGCTATCAAAATGAGCCACTTCTTTTATTTGAGCAAAACCGAGCGCATTCGGCATTAAAGGTACTTTGTGTATTTTTTACAGTTGCTCCAAATTAAATAACATGTTAACCAATAACAAATGCTAGATGGGAGTAAAAAATACACAGTTAAGTAAAAAATCAACACAATAATTTTGCAGCTTTGACCCCAGACGTTTTAAAGAAAATGTATAGTATATTAAAGGATTAAAACTCACTTTACACACAGTCCTTGGACAGAAGATAATCCATAAATCATTGTCTATATCCCATAATGGCTACAGATTACATTAAATACATAAAGTAGAATTCTGCCCCGCCAAGAATTTCCTCCATTCTTATATTCAAACGTTCTTTAATCCAACAAAAAAGGAATAATAGAATAACCTTTCCTTGGATGTCTAAAATATTCCACACAAACTCAAAAGAACAGACTGTTAAATGCATCCAGGATAACATCTCTAATTGGCTGATGGTGGGTGGCGATGACCTTTTATATTTTAACATATTAAGCGAGATTAACTGTATATTCGCCATGTGTTTTCCAGCTCTTTTTCCTCCCGGTCATACCTCAATGTGACAGTTTATCACTCCATCCATGTCTCTATCGTTATCTACCAACCTGCGATACTGTATGTACGGGTATCTTACATAAACGCAGTGTGATGGCTCTCCTGTCTGCACAGTCGATAATGGAGCCCAACCCCCCTGGACTCGTATTGAACTGTGTGGAGCTACTGTGCTACCAGTTTGTCGCCTTGAAGTAGTCATCACCAGTATGGAAGCATTAATGTTGGTGATTTGGCTGCATTGAGCTCAAATGGGAATGCAGGACAGAATGTTTGAATTGTTAAAGCACTGTGGAAGATTTGGAAAGGTACTGGTGGCACAGAATGTTTTAGGTAGAAAATTGTAGAATTGGAAAGGGTTTATAATGGGCTTGATACTAAGGCACTTTGACTGAAGAGTAATGGGTTGATGGGATATGTGAAAACATTGCATTCAATTGCTTTACGGACATACTCAAAATATTTGAATATTTTGCAAAAAAGGTAATCAACTATTCACTGCAACTGTTCTTTTGCAATGATCTCTGAAATTACTGAAAAATTGAGCTAAAGAGGAAAAAATCAGACTGGATATCTCTGCTGCCAATATTACACCTGACCTCATCAGCATAATTTCATACTGTGGCTGTTAATGAACAGAGCCTCACAGTCTCTGCATTTAGTTGCTGTTTATGCAACAACCTGCCTGGTCTTCATCACCGCCTCATCAGTGGAGCTGCCTCTTTGATCTGAGCCACATATGGAAATCCTTTGCAGTTTCTCGTACATTAATCAAGTAATGGAATGCTGTGATTATCATGAACATGAAAGTCTGCTTTTACGACATATCTCCAGGAGTTGCATGGATGCGCTAGGTGTTCGGCATCTCACTTCTGTCATCACTGTGTGTGGAGTAAATGGAATTACCACTCCACCAAGAATTGTATGACCTTGGACTGTAAAATACCAAACCCTATATAAATAAAGATTACTTACTTATGTACTTCACCGGGGCCATACAAATAGTAGTAATAATAAAAGTTTTGCATGAACACTTTCCAAGAATATAAAAAATAAATTAAAAAAAACTTTTGTTGCAGGTGGAAATGTGAAGAGGAAGCAGTCCCGGAAGCGTCTGGTCATCCAGTATCCCGCCAACGGGGGCCAGGACTGTCCCGAGCTGTTGACCCAGGAAAGAGAGTGTGATGCCCCCTCAGTCTGCAGCGGATACAGGTACTGCTCATGCCCGACCCATAAAGACCATTTGGCTGCTTACAGTGAATATCAATTACCCTAACTTTTTGAAGACTAGCACTGGTTAGAGCCATGCTCACCTTCTCAGCTCCCTGTTGAGACAAAATTAATTGAAATCCCTGAGGCGCCTTGTCATTGGTTTAACTTGCTAACTTTCCACGTATTGGTCGTAGTTAAGCCCGGACTTTTTTAAATATATTGTTGTTGTAAAATACTTACTGTATAATAATAATATTACAGGGTTTAATGTTCATAAATATACATTATTTAAAAAATGAAATACAAATCAAATGTCTGACATGTTAAACAATGCTTGAATGTCTCATCAAGTAAACTGGTGATACAACTACAGTCTTGTTCTATGCATAGGTTCAAATATTTTACATTCTGGCTCTAACAATCAACTGACAGAAAAGCTATCCACCAAATGGATACTTGTAGCATTCATAATAAACAAGAGAGATTAAATAAACAATATTCTGGGAGGTTTGGTGTCAATTTCCTGCTTTTGTGAAGTGTGTGAGACGTGGGCAGGCTTGTACATCTGCTGAGAATCAATAGTGAGTTATTCATGATTACAAGTGCAAACAGAGAAAGGAAAACGCTCCGCCTTCCCAGGATCTCTATTGAAAGTGCCACAGATGGTGTCGGGTTTAAACTCGTGGGTGTGCACAAAACAGACGAATTAATAAGGACTGACAACTCCGCCGTAGAAAGAGCCATGGGATTGTACTGGAGCCTTTTGAATGGTCTTGACATATACTATAGGGCATTGTTTAAACCTACCAGCATGTTAAACATGTGGTAACATATAAAAATAAGCCAAGATGGCTCTTTTAGTTAGTTATAGCTTTGTCACTATTATTTCATTTATTACTTGGCAGAGGTCAAGAAATATTACACATATTTCTTTCATACACAAGCTTATCGTCAGCAATACATTTTGGATAACTAAATACATATAAAGTTAACTGTGTGCACAACTCGGTACAAAGCAAACACATTGCTTTTTAAACTGTCAACCGTCATCTTAACCAGAAATGCAGAACTGAGCAAAACGGCATCATCCAAAGACTGATTTTATTTAAACAATTTGTTATAGGCAGAAAATATGGTTTATGTTTCTTTTGCATGACCTATTACAAATATTTAAAGAACTATTCTGTCTATAATTATCCTGGAGTGATTATTAACCAGCAAAGCAAAATTCTGCAAACATGGCGCAAGGTTTCATCAGAGTGCTCCGGTTTTCCCTTTACAACTGAAAACATGTACAATAGCTCCTCCTTCTCTCTGAGAACAGGCTTCCACTGAAATAGACATTAAATGCCCTGGTTAAATAAAGGTCAATAGAGTGAACAAAACAACATTTTCAAATTAAAAGTTCGTTTGTTACACAGCCTCCAGCCACTGCCAAAAAATACACATAATCTCCATCCATTATTATCAAATGCTTCAAGCTGACGGCAGACAAAACAAATTCACTTATACAAAAATCCGATTGAGAGCCAGCCACAGATCTTGTCCACAAATGCCCAGTGCTTCTTCATTGGTCTTGCGGTCCAAGATCAATCCAGTTTTATTTCCATTCAATCTGGACCTCGGTGATGACAGCTCCATACTGTTCGGTTTGTTTCGGTGAACAATCAAGTCATGAACGCCGCAACAGAAGCCTTAGAAGTGTTTCAAGGCTGGCAGTATAGCATTAGCCTCTCCCTGACCTGCACTCCAGAAGCACATGAAGCTAGCACCAGTTCACGCTCCGTAGGCCCGGAGTCTCACTTGACACGTGTAGTCCCCGCAGTGGGACGCAGTACGGTCTTTGATTTCAGCCGCGCACTGACGAAATACGGCTCGCGTGCATAATTTATACACACATCACGTTTGATTTCATTATGCAGGCGGTGACCAAAGGATGTCTGCGTGTCCATGGAGGAATCCTTTTATACGGGTTCATTTAGGTGTGTAATGAAGCCGCAGTGGAAATTCAATCAGGAGGTGCTCGCTGTGCGTCTACCGTTTTCCTTGTTGAGCAAAACCCACCGTTCTCGATCAATCACAATCTCCACTTGTTTAGTCGCCTTTGATTTTACTGTGTGACTATGCACTGCTTTATCTCAAAATCCTAATTTTCAATAATGACTACACAATAACAATGCTGGAAATAGCCTGCGGTACAGTGTTTTGACAACTCACCTCTCTCCTGTGTTCTCACACTCAACACTCAAACATACTACAAGGCATGACCAATTAAAATGCTTTCCAATTAGAAGCAAGTTTTATTTTTTTTCTCAGGAATCAGAATCTCGCTTTCAAAACTGCATCAAATAAAAGATGGGGTACATGATTTTTTAATCACACAATAGCTACAAAAGTGGGTGGAGCTTAAGTTTCTGTAAGTGAAATTCTACGGAAATCCCCACATGAAAATCAATAATTTGCTAACTAACGGACCAAATCAACCGTAATTAAACGGAAATTGTGTAATATTTCTCTTAACTATGTTATGTTATGTTATGAACATACGATAAACATAGGTTATATTTGATTGTAGATCTTGTGGTCATTACTCACCTGATAGCTGATCACCCTGAACACATTTTCAATCTTTTCCATATTTTTTCATAGGATTTTTACAAAGGGAATTTGTGTTCCTGTAACCCTAAGCTCTGCCCACTTTGCAGCGCAGAGGATCTATGAAGTAAAATCCATCTAACTAGTTCATGGTTCTATCACTCATTAACCCTAAACTTATTCCTAGATAACCTCTTTCAGACTGCCCTAACTCAGCCAATCAGCTCCCAAATCAAAGTGTTTTCATTCAGGCTGATCACAGCTCTCTAATATCTATCTTTAAACCAAGGTCTTTAATTAAGTCCATATTTTCAACTCCTTTTTCTAGATGGAAGACCCACAAATGGCGCAGATGCCAGCTGGTGCCCTGGACGGTTCGTCAGGACAGCCCCGGAGCACAGGAGACGTGTGGGCCCGGCCTACAAGTCAGAGGTGATTTCAACACTCCGCTCACTCCTTTCTCACGTACCAAAACTGGATTATTGTTATGATAATGTGTGTTTCTGCCATCACATTAGTACATCTCACCACTGCCATGCTGCTAAATTATCATCTTGGAAGTTCATCGGAGGGCATCAGCTTTTATATTGGATTATTTTAGGGGGTAAAGTATAAAAGATGAATGCAAAGGTGTCCCAAGGTATTGAATATGTAAGAGACGGTATAATTAGAACCTTCATGTCCTTGGATTTGGTCCCAGTCATGTCTCTCCCTCTCCCTGTCCCAATGCCGACATCAAAGCAGCACCCAGGGCCTTTTCTCGCCTGTAATTTTTCTCCTAATGACATAGAGGGAGGAGAAGACGGAAGAGCGGGGATTCAAATCTGAACGCATTATCTGCTTTTGAATATTGTGATTTTTAATATACGGGTCTGTGTCTGAGTGATGAGTGGATACATAAGGAGAATAGGCAGGACTCGAAGCTTGCATCATTTTGTAGCAGTGGAGTACCTGCTTCCTAGCACAGGTAAAAGTTATTGATTCAATTCAAATCTTTTATTCTAATTTTAGTTTTCACAATTATAATTTGGAACCACAACATGCCTTAAGCCTAGTGTATACTTGCGCGGCGCGGCTTACGTTACTTCCTCCCAGAATGCAAAGTGATCACCAGTAATTTCGGAAGTTATTTGAACATAATTTGAACATAATTGCGCAATGGCCCAGTTATTTATTGGATTTTGGAGGTGGTCTGAATCACTGTCTGGGTGGAGCATTTTTTGTTTAACTGGAACTGTCCCTCCAGAGAGTGCTATTTTTGTTTTACCCACGGGATCCAGGGAATGAGGTTGGCACTATGCTAATCCTGTGCGTCAATATATTGTATTATATGCACCATTAGTACGTCATAGTAATGTTTAATATGAATGCATTTGAGCACATTATCACTTCTATGTATTATTTAGTTATGGCTCCTAAACATTTTACTTTTGCATTTCATATTTGAGAATGGATCAACTCAACATGTACGCATTTTAGTATAACGTCTATATGTGTAGTTATTAATTATGTAAAAAACAACTTTTTCTAATGAAATCCTATTCGTCCATGATCTAAGGATTGGTCATAGCGAAAAAACTATGAGGCAAAAGGGACGGGGAGATGTGCCGAGAGTACGGAGATTAAAAAAAGAACTCTGAAGCTAAGCAGGGCAGGACCTGGTTAGCTTCAGCGTCTCTGAGTGTCGCTATATAAACTGATGAACACAATTATTGATTGACTGCGGAACCTTCCGCAGTCAACCATTGGTTTTGTATTTCTTTATTCCGTCATTTTTTTTGACACGTTTCACAGCTTTCACATTTTCAACAATTTCCACAAGTTATACATCAAAACGTTCCACATGTTTGGGAGATTATTGCTATTACTTTTGGGACTTCAGCGATTTCCGGTTTTTCCGCAATCGGACAAAAATCTGCATTGAGAATTCTGCAATGCATTTTAATAGGCCCATGCATTTTAATAGGACTTCAGCTCTTTCAGACATTTCTACAGTTTCAATGATTCAACAGTTTCAAGGATTCAACAGTTTCAAGGATTTCAGCAGTTTCAAGATTTCAAGAGTTTCAAGGACTTCAACAGTTTCAAGGACTTCAGCAGTTTCAAGGACTTCAGCAGTTTCAAGGACTTCAGCAGTTTCAAGGACTTCAGTGTAATCATGCAACCTAATAGGGATTTTTCCATGTAAACCAGTATAATGCAACTTAATAGGGATTTTTCCATGTAAACCAGTATAATGCAACTTAATAGGGTTTTTTCATGTAAACCAGTATAATGCAACTTAATAGGGGTTTTTTCCATGTAAACCAGTATAATGCAACTTAATAGGGGTTTTTACATGTAAACCAGTATAATGCAACTTAATAGGGTTTTTTCCATGTAAACCAGTATAATGCAACTTAATAGGGTTTTTTCCATGTAAACCAGTACAATGCAACTTAATAGGGATTTTTCCATGTAAACCAGTATAATGCAACTTAATGGGGATTTTTCCATGTAAACCAGTATAATGCAACTTAATGGGGATTTTTCCATGTAAACCAGTATTATGCAACTTAATAGGGATTTTTCCATGTAAACCAGTATAATGCAACTTAATAGGGATTTTTCCATGTAAACCAGTATAATGCAACTTAATGGGGATTTTTCCATGTAAACCAGTATTATGCAACTTAATAGGGGTTTTTTACATGTAAACCAGTATAATGGAACTTAATAGGGGTTTTTACATGTAAACCAGTATAATGCAACTTAATAGGGATTTTTACATGTAAACCAGTATAATGCAACTTAATAGGGATTTTTCCATGTAAACCAGTATAATGCAACTTAATAGGGTTTTTTACATGTAAACCAGTATAATGCAACTTAATAGGGATTTTTCCATGTAAACCAGTATAATGCAACTTAATAGGGTTTTTTACATGTAAACCAGTATAATGCAACTTAATAGGGGTTTTTACATGTAAACCAGTATAATGGAACTTAATAGGGGTTTTTACATGAAAACCAGTATAAAGGATAACAGTTTAAAGGATATCAGGAGCTTCAAATACTTCAGGAGTTTCAAAGATGTTTAAAGTATTTTAACAGTTTCAAGGATTTCAAGGATTTTTCAGCTAAATTCCACATTAGATCTGTTCCGCAGTCAATCGCAATGGCTTCAGCCATTGCAACGGTTTCTAGGTTATATTTATTGATTGGCGGCAATTATGTGTGACTATGGCTTGTCCACAAATTGGTTTTTATTCTTATTCTACTTAATTGATTGACTGCGGAACCTTCCGCAGTCAACCATTGGTTTTGTATTTCTTTATTCCGTCATTTTTTTTGACACGTTTCACAGCTTTCACATTTTCAACAATTTCCACAAGTTATACATCAAAACGTTCCACATGTTTGGGAGATTATTGCTATTACTTTTGGGACTTCAGCGATTTCCGGTTTTTCCGCAATCGGACAAAAATCTGCATTGAGAATTCTGCAATGCATTTTAATAGGCCCATGCATTTTAATAGGACTTCAGCTCTTTCAGACATTTCTACAGTTTCAATGATTCAACAGTTTCAAGGATTCAACAGTTTCAAGGATTTCAGCAGTTTCAAGATTTCAAGAGTTTCAAGGACTTCAACAGTTTCAAGGACTTCAGCAGTTTCAAGGACTTCAGCAGTTTCAAGGACTTCAGCAGTTTCAAGGACTTCAGCAGTTTCAAGGACTTCAGTGTAATCATGCAACCTAATAGGGATTTTTCCATGTAAACCAGTATAATGCAACTTAATAGGTATTTTTCCATGTAAACCAGTATAATGCAACTTAATAGGGATTTTTCCATGTAAACCAGTATAATGCAACTTAATAGGGGTTTTTTTCATGTAAACCAGTATAATGCAACTTAATAGGGTTTTTTTCATGTAAACCAGTATAATGCAACTTAATAGGGATTTTTACATGTAAACCAGTATAATGCAACTTAATAGGGATTTTTCCATGTAAACCAGTATAATGCAACTTAATAGGGTTTTTTCCATGTAAACCAGTATAATGCAACTTAATAGGGTTTTTTCCATGTAAACCAGTATAATGCAACTTAATAGGGTTTTTTTCATGTAAACCAGTATAATGCAACTTAATGGGGATTTTTCCATGTAAACCAGTATAATGCAACTTAATAGGGGTTTTTACATGTAAACCAGTATAATGCAACTTAATAGGGTTTTTTCCATGTAAACCAGTATAATGGAACTTAATAGGGATTTTTCCATGTAAACCAGTATAATGCAACTTAATAGGGATTTTTCCATGTAAACCAGTATAATGCAACTTAATAGGGTTTTTTTCATGTAAACCAGTATAATGCAACTTAATAGGGTTTTTTTCATGTAAACCAGTATAATGCAACTTAATGGGGATTTTTCCATGTAAACCAGTATAATGCAACTTAATAGGTTTTTTTTTTACATATAAACCAGTATAATGGAACTTAATAGGGTTTTTTCCATGTAAACCAGTATAATGCAACTTAATAGGGATTTTTCCATGTAAACCAGTATAATGCAACTTAATAGGGTTTTTTTCATGTAAACCAGTATAATGCAACTTAATGGGGATTTTTCCATGTAAACCAGTATTATGCAACTTAATAGGGATTTTTCCATGTAAACCAGTATAATGCAACTTAATAGGGTTTTTTCATGTAAACCAGTATAATGCAACTTAATAGGGTTTTTACATGTAAACCAGTATAATGGAACTTAATAGGGGTTTTTACATGTAAACCAGTATAATGGAACTTAATAGGGGTTTTTACATGTAAACCAGTATAATGCAACTTAATAAGGATTTTTACATGTAAACCACTATAATGTAAACTAATAGGGGTTTTTACATGTAAACCAGTATAAAGCAACTTAATAGGGATTTGTACATGTAAACCAGTATAATGCAACCTAATAGGGATTTTTCCATGTAAACCAGTATAATGCAACCTAATAGGTTGCATTATACCACCAGACCAAGACCCAAACGAAGACTCAGACCACCACCAGATAATGACCACAGACCAGGTTTCCTTAGTTACAGGAACCAAATTGTTTCAGCGGTGAGGGGATTTTTCAGTTTCAAGGACACTTTCAATACATTCAGTAGTTTCAAGGATTTCAACTGTTTAAGAATGTAACCAGTTTCAAGGATATCAGGAGGTTCAAGGATTTCAGGAGTTTCCACACTTTCAACAGTTTCCAGGTTTAAAAAAGTTTCAAGGATTTCAGGAGTTTCAATGTTTCAACAGTTTCAAGGATTTCAGGAGTTTAAAGGTTTCAACAATTTCAAGGACTTCAGGAGTTTCAAATATCTATCAAGTATTTTAACAGTTTCAAGGCCTTTTAAAGGATTTCAAGGATTTTTTTTAGCAGATTTCCACATTAGATCTGTTCCGCAGTCAATCGCAATGGCTTCAGCCATTGCAAGTTTCTAGTGTTATATAGTATTCATCTTGCGGCCAGGACTCAAATCAGGCCCACTGATTGGTATGGTTTGATCTTTTATTTTTTTTCATATTTTTAAAAAAATTATAATCAGCAAGATAATTCAATTAACTACACAAATTGATTTATAACAATAATCAACAACTGTAATCATACTTAATCATACTTAATCTATCTAATGTAGATAAAACGTGCAAAAATTTTTTTTGACATATCTGCGTTCTAAACAAGTAACCTATTAATCAAAGGAATAATCACTATTTTAATCCATGAACAAACAAGGATTAGTTGCAGCCCATAGCAGCTGGTGTGAAAACATGTAAACTAGTGACAAATTTAATTTATTAATTATTTTGTTTTATTCTTTTTTTATTAAACCTTACACAGACTTCAACATGTGAGAAGAGGTTTCAGATCATCAAAGAATGGCTGCAGAATTAAGTGAAAATGTGTTTACAAAATATACTTCTATCCATCCATCCATTTTCTTCCCCTTAATCCATTTCTGGGTCGCGGGGGTGGCAGTCAAAGTAAACATCCGTGCTGCTCTGTTTAGTTGAATCTTTAGACAACTAAATTTGTCTTCTGTAGAAAGTTTTAAGTGGTGCTGTACTCCGGTCCTTGGTGATATCTGAGCGTGTGCAAATCAATCAGTCGTAAACATTGTTAACGATCAAAACATTGCATTCCCAAACCAAAGCCTCACTTAGCATATTGTTTTACTCCTGGTTCAGTGAGTTGGCTCATTATGTGAACACACGCCTCTCCTGCCCACCTCCCATTACTGCTGCGTGCTGCTAATTAGCACTTGACCCGGAGCATGGGTTTTATTGATTGTACAGTAGTGTAATCGGCTTTAAAACGCAAACAATATGATTCAAGTGCCCTTTGCAACTGCACAACACAAATTAAATATTCATGTTTAGGAATATGGCCTCACATATGAAATTACATGGAGACAGATTCATATTTGACAGAGAAGAACCACAAGATGGAACTCTGATCTTGACAAACTTCTGCTGAAAGAATCCAGGTCTCCTGTTCCTTGAAAGTGCACGTCATAAATAATGAATTATTAGAAAGATTGATGATGCTGTTGAGTTTGTCATTTGTTACATTTGTCAAACTCTTAAACGCAACATATCTATGTTTAAACATTGTATGTATTGCTGAAAGTGACTTCTTAATTTTACAAAGATATATCGTATTTCTAATGTTTTTGATTAAATACACACACCATTTTTTGAGCGAACATTCCAGCTCTCCACTCACTACAGAGAAGCATGTGTGTCAGAAACGTTTCAACGCATTGCTTTATAACAATTTAAAGGTAATTACATAATTAAAATATAGATTTGTGTGAAACAAGCATCACAAATGTTTTGGTGCGCTCACCACAATTTGACCTGGTTTTATAAATATTAGTTGTTATATTAATTATCCAATATTTGAGGCATTACACTTGCAATCAAAGATGTTTCAGTGTCTGTTAATGTTGATTACTCCTTTGTTTATCCTTATATGAAAGCTGGTGGAGCTGGTGGACAAACATTAATGTATGAAAGAGTTGACAAAGGAACAAAAGTCTACTTCTCCCTGTTTGTCTGAGAATAACATAAGATAAAACAACCTTTTTTCATCCCACAGTGGGGAAATGTTGATGTTGCAGCGCACATTCATGACAGTAGGAAAACGATACGATACACGATAAAAAGCTCACGATAACGATAATATCACGATAACGATATTACGATAACGATTTTATCACGATATGACGATTATTGATATATTGGTCAGAAATATACAATATGCCAATTTATGGCATAAATAAAAGAAAAAAATACTCTTTATTTCATGATAAATAGAATGGAGATGCGTAATGTAGCCATATATTAAGTATTGATACCAATTTAAAAAAAAAAATAGTAAAAAAAAAAAAAAAACTATATTAAATCGATATCGATACTTGGCAAATGCATATCGATAATCAAATCGCGGGAGAAAGTATCGCGATATACGCGTCACACCCCTACTAAGGAGCACACAAAGCATACAAAGTAGCTGTAAATGCTCCTTAAATGTCTGTAAAAGCTTACTGATGTTCTTATTCTGTGTTACGACTGGGACCACCCACCAGCCCTCACCCTCCATGTGTCTCTTGTCTCCCCAGCCGTGTCGTGTCGTAAGCAGGACGGGGGTCAGGCTGACGTGGAGGCCTGTCTAAAGCACTCCAGCCCCATGCCTGCCCTCACCCAGCCCTGCCAGGTGCCCTGCCAGGAGGACTGCCAGCTCAGCACGTGGTCCAAGTTTTCCTCCTGCTCCGCCGACTGCGTGGGGGTCCGCAGCCGCAAGAGGGTGCTCATCGGTCAGTCGCATTTTACACTCGAGAGGACAGCTGTGGTATTTGAGCAAATACTGCATAGAGATGGACAGAGATTACCCATTATCGAGCTACAGCCTAAACTAGTGATTTATTACATATCGCTAGTTATTTTTTTGTGGTTTCAAAGGTACTCCAGCTTTAATTCTCTACATCATCTGTCCTGTTATTGTACATCAAAATAGTTACCTTCCACAAAGTCTTAATCTCTTTTTATATCAATTCTCCCAACACAAGAAAAAGTATGGGAAAAATAGTTGCATAATCAGAGTTGGACAGACCATGGGCTTAATCCAGCTTTATGCTCAACAAACACACATCAGTCCATCACCTACTGATAGTCCACTATCCTATTGGTAATATCTTGTTTGATTTTGAAGATTCTGGTTTGAATTAACAGCTCAATTGCTAAAGGTGCTGACCTAACTTGTTTCTGAATATGAGCTGATAAGTATCTGGTATAGAATGGTTTTTTTTTTAGTTTTACTTAAAAACATGTGCAGTACTGTACATTACACTGCAATACTACAAGACTATCATGTACACTGCTGGGAAACAGGACTCAACAGTTTTTATAAGACCTTTTCCAGGACTGAATCAAGACCTTTTCCAGGACTGAATCAGGATAGGTCCTGATTCAGTCCTGGAAAAGGTCTTATAAAAACTTTTCCAGGACTGAATCAGGACCTATCCTGATCCAGGACTGAATCAGGACTGAATCAGGACTGAATCAGGATAGGTCCTGATTCAGTCCTGGAAAAGTTTTTATAAGACCTTTTCCAGGACTGAATCAGGACCTATCCTGTCCAAACCCTGATTTAGATAGATTTGGACGAAAGTATTAATAGAAGTGTGTTGGGTTTGTGACTTGACTTTGCAGACAGCAATATGCCCCAGTATAACCCATATGAAAACAATAAGAGAGCACAATAAAACACATCTATTTATTAGCCACTATAAATTCTGTTTGGTGTCTGTGCGTGCTCACAAATCCATTCTACTACAACATATTGATTGTGTATGCTAGCTCATATAACTATGGTGTCCATATGGAGTCAATACAAGGACAAACAACAACTGCTTTATCAGAATATGTGGTGTTTTTCACTTTAGGACTGTTACAATTGATTGAAGTGAAAGATGTTTTCTAAAGCAATTTTATCATGGCAGGGCTCCTGCTCCATACAATCTAAAGCTTTAACAGTATCAAGGCTATATTCCAAATAGAAGTGGGGGATATTTAACACACTCACTGCAAAAAAAAACCTAAAATAGGAGGTAATGCTTGAATCAAGTGGTTTTTATCTTCATTTGAGTACATCTTACCGTCTAAAAGCAAGATTTGCCAATTGGACAAAGCCATTTTCGTCTTTTTTTCAAGACTGTTTTTGATCATTCCAAGGGAAACATGGCTTTTTTTTAAACTAGATAATTTTGCTTGTCCCATTGGCAAATCTTGTGCTCAGTATGTGTTCAATTAAGATGTATATTTTTTAAATTTTAGAAATGTTGACGATCACATGTGGTAAGGCATGGCGTGGCATGTCAATTTGAAGGAATGCTTTTGTTTTAAAAGGTAAAAAATAGCTCTGTTCATAACTTCATATTCTGAAGATTTGTTCTAATATACACATTTTGAGAAAAGATCATTTGAACAGCGGAAGGACATGCTTTTGCTGGAAGTTCCTGATATTATAGTTAAAAACAACTCAAGGACTGTTTTGATGAGGAAACAATGGTAACTTGGTTTTTGTTTTGATCCCAGGTAAAAGTAAGAAGCGTGAGCAGTGTAAGAACCACCAGGCCTACCCTCTGAGTGACACGCAGTACTGTCCTTGTAACAAGTACAACGCTCAGCCCGTGGGGAACTGGTCCGACTGCATCCTGCCCGAGGGGGGCAGAGTGGAGGGCCAGCTGGGCATGAAGGTCCAGGGGGACATCCGCGAGTGTGGCCAAGGCTACCGCTACCAGGCCATGGGCTGCTATGACCAGGACAACCGCATGGTGGAGACGTCCCGCTGTAATAGCCACGGTGAGTGGGACCAGCATTCACACCAACACCTTTATATAGTGTTTATCTTTTCAATTCAATGTATTTTTGTATGGCCCTAAATCACAATAGTAATTATCTCATAGGACTTACAAAACCGTTGAATTCCCTGACACAGATCAAAGAAATCTGTTTATACACCTGTAAAAACTGCATCAGCTACATATAAGAAGAAAGTACATGTTGTACATATTCAAGCCACACTTTGTTGTACAGGGGCACTACACAAATACATCTTGTATTTTTGCGCATTTTCTACTGAAAACAGTTAGTATTTTTATTTGAGCAGTTTAACAACCATCTTTTGACATTGACAAAAAACGTCCCTATCCCTGCCCAAAACCCACACTGACTCAAAACACTGTGCGATTGTTGTGCGTGTCCTAAATGATCTGACTCATGACATTTGTAGCTTCTCAGCGCAGAAATCTGTCTCCCATGTTCCCTGCGTTCCTTTCACCCAGTCCTTCAAAGCGTCCAATTTAAGCCAGCGCACCACTCCTCTCCACTGAGCCGACCGGAGCCCGTAGCCCAGATCTGTCAGGCTGCAGCCACATTAGCATTCGCCGCTATCGCCAGTCAAAGGCGGTAAAGGGAATTAGGAATCACTGCGCTGTCGTACTCGGCGTGCACACATCAAAAGCACAAGCAGAGGGGAACGGGAGGACTGCTGTTTGCTTATGAGCAAGCTGTGTGATCCAGCCAACACTACTCTAACCAATGTAAGGCGGTCTGTTGAGGAATTTCAGATAGAGTATTGTGCTCTGTGGCAGTGGGGACTTGGGTGGGACAATGGTTTGTGGGCCACTACCACTATGTGTAGCCACTGCCAACATGCGTGATGACATGCATTATCCACAACACCTCTGCACTACTGCGCTAAACACACCACACACACCCTGCCCAGGACTCACACTGGACATCACACACACCATATACCTTGTACAGCAAGAGAGACTACAATGGGATTAAGCAGTTTCATAGCCTTGAGGTAAATTGGTAATATAATAAAATGTGGAAGTAATTCTTTCCCACCCAAAACTATATTCATAACACCATGTACTTTTGCTTCGACACCTACACACATAACTTTAAATTGATTTTTGGTTTGCTCCGCGGGGGACGCTGGTTGCAGTTATTTTGCAGATTTGTCGGCTATAACGATTACCATATACATAAATCATAACAAAATAGACAAGTTTTACACCAGCAAAGTTCCCCAGGCAACATTGTAAATAGGTCCTGTATGTTTTTTTTGTTTACAGATATATGCAATTTGTATTATTTTATGGGTCTAGTTCCAAGGGGAGTCTCAGAGAACAGTAAAAGCTGACAATAAGTTTTTGATATTTCAAGAGATTCTGTGTACATATAAATTCCAACATGGTTCAATGTAGTTTGTTCAAGTTTATTCTTAGTGTGAACTACCATTCTGCATTATCTTACTTGCTCTGGTCCAGGCAAACTCTTGAAAGTATTTTTTTGAGCATGACCTTAGCATAGCACTGTGGAGTCTCCTGTGTGTTGTATTTTTAGCCTCATGTGGTGACTTTGTCCACAAGGGCGGCTACGGTCCCTGCAGTGGGCCTCTCCGTGTGTACGTCTAACAATTCCTTGTGTTTCTAATTAGACTTTTGGACATGCCCAGAAAACAACAATACCCACTTTAAAAACATTCATCAAATTACAATATAGATGTTAAAGGTGCAGTAAGCGATTTTGTTAGCTTAGCCGTAGTACCAATTCGAAACCATTCCCCCCCTCCCCTCCCCTATCCACCAAACCAAACATCCAGAATTTTCTTCTGTGTGTCACAACAGGGAGAGTCAGTGGCAAACGTGAAATTGCCATTTTCTGTTCAGCCTTTTTAGGCTTTTGAAAATCCAATAACTCAGGTGCGCGCACTCGTGAGAAACAGGAAGAGGGTGAAGGGGGTAAACGCATCCCATTGTTCTACTTCATAGTGCTACGCCCCTTAGGCTCGCTTTGGGTATAACTCCAGAAGCACCTAGCTTCCCGCCAGAGAGAACTCAATGCTCCAATCACTGTGCAGAACCTCCTATAAATAGCCCACAGCAGTCCATGCTCTTCACTTTGAACTCTGGCGCCATTGAGAGAAGTTCTACTCACCATTGAAGATCGCGATGTCTACTCCTCCTCGTCCGAGAACTCCTTCGCCATCCGGCGTCGGACGAAGACGGTGCGGTGGCTGCCGGACCAAGCTCCACCGCAAAGACCGGCACGAGTTCTGCTTCCTCTGCCTGGGAGCTCACCACCACCGGGAAGCGGCGACGTGTGCGGCGTGCCTTTCTCTCCCCGGGGAGGAGAGAGAGCGCCGCGCTGCTTATGCCACCTCCGCGGAGGCTCGCCCGGGTCCCTCCCAGGAGGAGGAACCTGAGGTTGAGCATGTCCCGCTCGACCTGCCTCCTGCACCCAGGGAGTGGGGAGACTGTGTTGTGGAGGAAGAGTTTGGCGAGGACCGGGGTTCCTACGTCACTCTCGACGAGGCTATTTCCTTGTGCGAGGAACAAGACCGCTTCCCTCTGGACCACATGCCCCGCCTCTTCGCCACGGCAGCGGCCACCATGGAGACCCCCCTGCCTCCGCAACCCACCCAGAGAGAGAGCGACTTCACGTCGGTGGGTTCATCGCTTCCAGGGAAGAAGAGACGAGCTCCAACACTGTGTCCGCGGATGGATCCGGTTTTCCATTACGCGGCACGTGATTGGGCCAAACCCCTAGCAGCTAAGAAGCCTGCTCTGGGGTACGGCGCCTATTGCTCGGTCCAAGACTGGTCCTGGTCCAAAGGGGTCCCGGAAGTGGAGGACGCTGTCCGGCTCGCACTACTCCCGCAGTCCTCGGTGTGGCCCGGCAGCAGACCTCTCCTTCCCTCGGAGCGGGATAGGATGAGCATGGCTGTACTGGATAGATGCTACGCTAACGCAGCACAGGTCGTTGCGTTAGCTAGCAATATGGCTCTTCTCACCGGGGCCCTCGATAGGTCTCTATCCACGGGTCAAGCTCTCACCGACGAGGACCTGGACCGGGCCAGAACCACCACGGCGGCCATACTCCGTATGATCCAGGCGCTGGCTATTGACGGTGGGCGATCCATGGCGTCCGCACAGGTCGGTGCTCGCCATCTGTGGCTGGGGCTCGCGGACATCAAGGAGACGGAGAAGAGGCAGCTCCTGGACCTCCCTATCTTCATGGATTCCCTCTTCGGTCCAGACATGAAGGGGCTCGTCGCGAGACTGGACGCTGCTGCCAAAGACTCCGCCATGCTGGCTCCTCATCTGCTCCCTCGCCGTGTGTCACAGCAGCAGCAGCAGCAGCAGCAGCAGCAACAACAACAGCAGCAGCCTTATCGCGGCAGAGAGAGAGTGAGAGACCGGTCACCTCGGCGACGCTCAGCTCCGCCCCCTCTTGCTCCTTGCCCGGGCCGCTACACTCCGCAGAGACCACGGGGTTCAGAGCCTTACTCCGGTGGTTTCCGTGACCAACGCTCCCACCGCCGCCCTCCCTACAGTCGGAGAGTTCGGGGGGGGAAAAAGTTTTTCAATAAATGACAAGGTGTACCGTATTCTCTGTCTGAGCATCATCTTTTTGCCATGCATGGTTTGTCATCTCAGGTAGAGGGCATTGCATCACACACAGGTCTATCACCTTTGGTTACGTTGAGTCCACAGCGGCCGCATCCCTCCATACCACTTCCCACAGCGGCCAGTGTAGTGTCTGCTGGGTCAGGACCAGGTTTTGCGAGCCTCTCTCCCTTTTCTCAGCGTCTCCGGGGTAAATCCAGCACTTCATTCCCCAGGGGTGGTAATGAAAGCCTAGGTCAGGTTTTTCCCTCCGTCTCCGGGGTTCCCTCTGTTAGTGGTGTTACGCATACAGAGCAGGACGCTCCCACACACGTCTGCCCTTCAGCTCAGGCTGCTGTCATTTCATCCTCTGGGCGGGGAGTGAAACGCAGATTACCGCTGTCTATAAGTGAGTCAGGGGGCCTGGTCCCAACCTCCTCACACAGCACATCTCATGAGGTGTTTCGGCCCTTTCGATGCCCCCCCCTCTCCGCTGGGAGCGCAGGGAGAGTGGGGGGCTATTACACCAGGTGCTCCGGGTCCTCTCCTTCCCCTCACAGAGCAGTTTCGGGTCTGGGAAGAGCTCGGTCTACTGTCAGACCCCTGGTTAAAGAAAACGATGCGCAGGGGCTACGCTCTGCAGTTCGCACGGAGACCACCGCCGTTCCAGGGCATTCGTGCGGTGCGCCCTACAGATCGGGAGACAGAAGAGGCGCTCCAAATGGAGGTCGCCTCCCTGTTACGCAGAGGCGCCGCGGTCCTGGTGGACCCTCGGGACGCCTCCAGAGGCCTGTACTCCCCGTATTTCCTGGTCCCCAAGAAATCAGGGGGGGTGCGCCCTATATTGGATCTGCGCACTCTGAACCAGTGCATTTCCAAACGGCCCTTTCGGATGCTTTCCACAAAACATCTGTTAGAGTGCGTCAGGCCCGGGGACTGGATGTCAACCATAGACCTGACGGACGCTTACTTCCACGTTGCCATAGTACCGGAGCACAGACGCTTCCTGCGCTTCACCGTGGGAGGGAAGTGTTACGAGTACTGTCGCCTCCCCTTCGGTTACGCTCTGGCCCCACGCACCTTCTCCAAGTGCGTGGAGGCGGCGCTGGAACCACTCAGACGCGCAGGGATCAGAATCCTGACTTATATAGACGACTGGCTGATTCTGGCCCCGTCTCTGGAGCAGGCCACCATTCACACGCACTGGGTCCTGTCACACGTTCAGCGCCTAGGCTTTGTGGTGAACAGGGAAAAGAGCAATCTGCAACCCGCACAGCGCTTAGTCTATCTAGGTCTACAGCTAGACTCGGTGGAGTTTCGGGCAGCGCTCTCCCAGGACAGACGCTCGAGCATCACGCGTCTAGCTCAGGAAGCGCTGACCTCTCCCACAGTGACCGCCCGACGAATACGATCTCTATTGGGGATGATGGCATCAGCTCATGCAGTGGTGCGGCTAGGTCTCCTTCATTTGAGACGTTTCCAGAGGTGGTTCTCCCGTCTCCGACTACATCCCACAAGAGACGGGGGCAGAAGGCTCATTGTTCTTCCAGGAGTGGCCGAGGACCTGAGCTACTGGCTCACGCCCGGTCTGATGCTGGAAGGAGTTCCCCTGGTCGGTGCCGTGGCACACGTGGAGGTGTTCACGGACGCGTCTCTGGAGGGATGGGGGGGGGTTCTGCACCAGAGCTCTGTGGGGGGCGCCTGGTCAGGCCCTCTTCGTCACATCAATCTGCTGGAGATGGAGGCGGTTCACAGGGTGCTTCTGCATTTCGCTCCACAACTAGCGGGGAGACACGTGATGGTGCGCTCAGACAACACCACAGTGGTGGCGTATCTGAACCGGCAGGGGGGCACGAGGTCCCCAGCCCTCCACCGACTGGCAGCGACCATTCTGATCTGGGCTGCAGGGCATCTGCAGTCTCTGAGAGCGCGTCATGTTCCGGGAGACAGGAACACAGGGGCGGACATAATGTCACGGGGAGGCCCTCTCGAGGACGAGTGGGGCCTCAACCCGCAGATGGCAGCGGAGGTAGCGTAGCACTATGAAGTAGAATTGTTAGTTACCTATTGTAACTGTAGTTCTACGAATAGTGCGTAGCCCCTTAGCTACGGGCCCATCAGTCCAACCTGGCTTTGGCGAGTTCAAAGTGAAGAGCATGGACTGCTGTGGGCTATTTATAGGAGGTTCTGCACAGTGATTGGAGCATTGAGTTCTCTCTGGCGGGAAGCTAGGTGCTTCTGGAGTCATACCCAAAGCGAGCCTAAGGGGCTACGCACTATTCGTAGAACTACAGTTACAATAGGTAACTAACAAGTTCGTTGGGGATGTACAAATCCCATTGGTTTTATTTTATCGGTTTGCTCCAAAATAAATGGTATTAATTTTTGGAGACTATAGGCATCTGGTCAATTCCATTACTATTGGACAATATGATAACTTGACTACTTTTCGGTTTAGAGTCGTTTTCCCACAATAAAAAAGCAAAAAAGGTAGCATTGCTTTGTCTGTCATTTAGAATTCACTATTAATTCATGTTACAATTGTCATGGGCCATTTTATCTTTTTGATTATCTCAATATTTTTTCAGTGTAGATATTTGTATATAGTACACTGATGATCTGGGGCCCATTACTGAATCCTGGGGGACACCAATAGTTAGACATTGGGTAATGTTTGTGATCACATATTCTTACATAATTTTTTCACAACTACGAATAGAACACTCTAGAACGTGCATGTGGCACCGTTTCCTCAATATGTTTTAATTGTGTTTGTTGTTACATGACTTTCAGATGTGTACCAAAGAAAAATAAAAAACAAGTTAAACTAATAAACAGAAATACGCAGTTTGAAAGGGGATTGGACGAAGCAGTAATATCTTAAAACAAACCTTCTCTCTGCCTGTAGGGTACATTGAGGAGGCGTGCATCATCCCCTGCCCCTCGGACTGCAAGCTGAGCGAGTGGTCCAACTGGTCACGCTGCAGTAAATCCTGTGGCAGCGGCGTCAAAGTGCGTTCCAAGTGGCTCAGAGAGAAGCCCTACAACGGGGGGAGACCTTGCCCCAAACTGGACCATGTCAACCAGGTGAGGGCAACAACAATAATGCTTACAGCTCTCTGTTTAATCCTTTGGAGACAAAACACTTCAATAAATACAAATGCAAACACTCTCATTTTGACTTTTGACATAACATGTTTAATGTTTTGCCTATACTTTCATGGATGTTAAAGTGTGTTTCCTTGCACGGTCGTCCCCCAGGCTCAGGTGTACGAGGTGGTGCCTTGTCTCAGCGACTGCGGTCAGTACGTGTGGGTGTCCGAACCCTGGAGCGTGTGGAAGGTCAGCAACGTGGACCTGAAGGACAACTGCGGAGAGGGCGTACAGACCAGGAAAGTCAGGTTAGAACAATTATAATCATGTTTGCATACTCTACAAACTCCAAATATCATTTGCGTACAAGACAAGTTTGCAATCTTGTGCCAATACACACGTGAGATGGTTCTTTAGCTTTGTATTTGCCTGGAGTTGTTTTCAGCTCAATGTCTCAGAAGATTCGGGCCCGAATAACTAACATTATGTGAAAGTGTATCTTGACAAGGCAGTGCTAACCAACCAACCACCAGACAACATTCACACAAATCCTGATTATTCTGGATTAAATTAAGCTCTATTCTAAAAATCACCTTTCACAACATTTCTGTGTATACAGCAGTTCATGATAAATTGAGTGCTAAAATAATTGTCAAGTACTGAAAAAGTTGTGATTAGTTGATTCATCTTTCTGCTTCAACATATGAACCAACGCTTTCCCTGCTTTTTCTTCTCAAACGTCAAAGAAAATTCCTGATCGAGTCAGTACTTCCATTAAATGATAGTGTAGGAAATCAAGAAATAATTAAAAGGCTTCCAATTTGATTCTATCTGTAGATTTCTATGAGAGGTGCATAATGCTACGTTCTCTCTGTCTCGACATGCAGAACTTTTTGTCCAAACTTTATCAGGGACTCAAAAATTCCATTAGAATTAATGAGGAAATTATTTCGAGATGGCTCATCACATCCAAAAACAAAAGCGAAAGTCCCTCTCCAGTCATCAGCGCGCTGACTGGCTGCCGTCTTTGACACATTTGGAAAGAGAAAGAATAACAAATCACAATCCAGTGACTCCAGTGACCCGGCTGCTGAATTCTGAATTTGAAACTTCTGAATAATAGATTCTTCTCCAGATTTTCCCCCAGAGTTGTCTCTACTCCTGTCATTGGTCAAAGAGGATGGATGACTTTACTTTCTAACTTCTCCTCTGGGACGGTTAGATGGCGGAACTATGGCCCTTACACACTTTATTGAGCTAATCCCAGCTGCATGTTTTTATGTATTATTGTCTCACACCAACACCAACACCAATTGTGTAGGATGTTTAGTGTTTCCATCTCATTGGATTGAAGAGATTTCATATCAAACCTTTTTTATGCACAGTACAGACCAAAAGTTTGGACACACTTTCTCATTCAATGAGTTTCTCCTTCTTATGACTATTGACTGTAGATTCAAACCCAGGCTGTGTGAATCTACAATTTTCATAATCATGAAAATAAAAAGTCCAAACTTTTGGTCTGTACTGTATTTTTCTTTCTTATTGAGAATACATTATGCAAAATAGTATTTTCTGAGCATTCAACCCGTGTTAAAACAGTTGGTCTAAAAGCGCCTGTCTCAGTCGATTTTGTTTGATGTCATTGTTCCATTATGACATCAAATGACACTCTTAAGTTGTCGCTGTAGAGTGGCTCTGTAAAACCACTGCGCTTTCAGATAGAAAGGAGCCATCTGGAGTGGCCGTTTTCTGATACTGTTCAATGTTCATATTCCTGATCATTTCAGATTGCAAAACATCCTTTCTAAATACTGTGACGTAATCATGAGATCATATGTGGCAGGTGTATGCTGAACACTATCGATGGGCCCCTGGAGCAGGTGGAGGATTACCTGTGTGACCCAGAGGAGATGCCCCTGGGGGCCCGCAACAGCCGCTTGCCCTGTCCTGAGGACTGTGTGCTCTCCGACTGGTCCGACTGGAGCCCCTGTGCCCTGGTGCGTCACACTGCTCACACACAACACCGTGTTTTGTTTTATTCCACACAGTTCAATTGGAATCGTCTCAACAAAACATTTAAGATGAGTGTGGGCTAAACCTTTTCTACAATAGAGTCTGACTAATGAGGCACCACATTGGCTTCATGAGCAGCCTTCTTATCTCAATCAACACAAAACACACAACTTCTCATTCAGATTCAAGTGTTTGTTTCACACAATGCACCATGGGTTTCCTATAATTGGTTAGTTCTCCAGTGAAATGTGTGAATGAAATGGAAGTGTTAAGCCTAGCGTACATCGACAGAGAAACTGGAGACAACTAGTTGCAAGGCGGCTTTTGGCAACTGAGAGCAGATGATGGGAGATGATCAGTTGCCGAAATCGGTCGATGTGCGCGCTTTTACAACTGGAGATGATCAGTCGGTCTCCAGTTTCAGTCAGTTGCCCGTGTTCTACTTTTCGGCAACTAGTTGTCCTCAGTTTCGGAGATATGACCCGATGTGCGCGCTCCATGCGCCGCTCCGACAACGTGTGTGTATTGCGTGTATTGCGAGCCCGCAACAGTTTATGTCAGAAAACACACTGTAGTTGAGGCCAGTTGCTGTCGATGTACGCGCTGTTATTCCCAAGACTGGTCTGCTACTGGGAGTTGCCCGTTTTCGTTAGATTGTCGATGTGTGCAGGGCAGCAACTCATATGCGACGGATATAATCAGTTGCCAGTCCGATGTACGCTAGGCTTTAGTGTTAGTCTTTCAGTGCAGTAAAAAACATCAGGGCTGAGGAGTTGTGCTTTTACTATTGTTGAAATTGGTCTAATTTATCACTTATACTCCATTCTTCCTCTGGGTTATTGACCCATTCCTGGCATTTCTGGTTTGCCCGAATTTTGTCTCTGTTGATTCACACTGAGGAAGTAATTTAGTATAGGTTAGCGTTTCCAGAACAGCGCAGTCATCCTTAGGCCTTTACCCACAAAAACCACTGTGCTCTGTAATGGTATATTCCATTTGATTCCAGTAACAGACGTCCTATTGTCAAATAAATGCGACATCACCCAGAGCTGTTCTTATGCGACTGGCAGAAAAAAGTGATGCAAGCGCTGAGTAACATCAGGCTGTAAATGACTCATTTTTCATGTCACGCTTGAGAAGCTGGGACCAATTAGCTGAAATTGCCTCCAGAATATAATAAAAGTAGAAGCTTAAGTAGAGGAATGAATGGAGGATTATTGAAAAAGATGGTTATTCCAAGAAATCGCAGAAGCAAAGTTGAACATTCTAAATAAAAAATTGTCTTGCCTCTTTCCACAAAAGGTTCTTCTCTTTACCATAACTTCATATACCATTGAATTCTACTTAAAGCTGGGTTGCCTAACTTTAAAAACACACACAATGGAACTTTGTAATACAACCATTCTAACTTTTTCTTTGCTCTAAAAACAGTGTCAATCATCTCTTAGCCCAAAGTGTCAAATAGTTACTAAAAGGGCTATTTCTTACAAATATGCAAAATATAGCATGTTTTTAATTTGAGGAAACCAGCCATGATTTGTTCACTTTTTTTTCACAGAGCAGTAAACAAACAAACTTTTTTTTTTCCATCTGTATATTATATATCTATTCATGGAAAAAGCCGGGCCGTAACAGTTAGGTAGCCCAGCTTTAATGATCATCTATTCAAATGTGTTTTTATGGCAATATTCAACCATGTCCTTAGACTTTGTACAATCTCAACCAGCCTCAAGAGCTGAGCCTCCCCTTCTCTTGCAGTTCAGACCTTAATGTCTTTATAATTGTATATGTTGGGAATAAGCCCTGTGTTGCTGTGTCTAGCCGTGTAACAGCAGCAGCAGCCGACAGAGAAGTGCCTCCCTGCTGCGTCAGCCCGGAGAAAGCAGACAGTGCTCCTCAACCACCGAGACAGAGCCCTGCAAACTCAACGCCAACTGCTTCCACTACTCCTACAACATCACAGGTACCACTGCACGGCCGCACTTAGCAACGACTGTTCTATGTGATCTTCAGCAAGGTGGCGCAGCGGTTAGAGCTTGTGTTTCACAGCAACAAGGTCCTGGGTTCGATCTCAACTCCAGGCCTTTCTTTGCGAAGTTTGCATGTTCTCCATGTGTCTGCATTCTTCTGGGTGCTCCGGTTTCTTTGCGGGGCTCTTTGGGTTGTTTCTATAGATTCAAAGATTAAAGACCACTGCTCTTTGATAAAAAAATAAATGGTTAAATTCAACCGCACAACATAGTCACGTTTCATGTCATGTTTTATTCTCTAAAAGAAAATAGCAATGGAAGAGAAAATGTTGCTAGGGTACAGAAACATCTACAGTAACTCACTAGAACTCACTTATGGTCGTTTAATAGTTGGAACATATCATCTGTTATCCATTCTAGTGGATAATTCCAGCCACTGATATACATATTTACTTTGAAATATATCAATATTTATTGTCTAACTATATCTTGTAAAAATACAGAAGAAAGAGGTGTCATGCAAAAAATACTTTCCCCTCGTATTATTCATTAGTTTTATTAGTTTAGTATTTTCCATCCCTCCTGATCTATCATTTCGGCTAGTTTTGTGCAGTACTGTGAAGTAAATACTACATTTATATGGTATTTACAATTTGTGTCTTGTTTGGGAAGAATAATAGAATAGTACAAAGATTGCTTACATTGTTGAAGTATTTCTGATCAAAGAGGTTTGTTGCTTTGTCTTACTGCTTCAAGTGTTGATATATAGAGTTGATAAGTCATACATGTTTTTGTTAATCACTGGAGATTTAAAGAGTACATAGCATATTTATATTTTTTTTATTATACATAAAGAAAAGTAACAACAGAGAGAACCCAACCTTCAAAAGTAAAGAAAAATAGCAATTATAGTAAATCTGCTGTGAGATAGTGAGGACTTACACAATGCAGTGCTAAAATGGGATCAATTAAACAAGTCAGCAAACAAGTTATTCTTGAACAGATTTGTTTAAAGATTGTTGATTTAAAAAAATACAGAGATTTTCATTTACAATTCTTAAACCTCGACCATAACATTCTCAGGTCAAGTACTGTGCATGAGAAACTCTTCAAATCTTTTGTGTCTAAAGTTTTAAGCTCCCTTCAGTGTTTGTATTCAGGAAAATACCTATGTTCGCTCACACACTGTCTCACAAACAGGCTTTGACAAGATAAATGCACAGGTCAAAGCAGTGTCCCCCTCTCCTCCAAGCACTGCTCTCCTGCTCTGGAATATCTTTTCATTCATTGTAAACCATATTACTCCCCGCGGGAAATTGTTTCATTCATTCTTGCCTCTGTTTACATACCGCCATGCGCGGACGCGCGCGAGGCTCAGCGCGCACTCGCAGAGCAAGTACTGTGTATGGAACGCTTATACCCGGACTCTCTGATTATTATCCTGGGGGATTTTAATAAGGGAAACTTGAGCCAGGAATTACCCAAATACAGACAGTTTATCAAATGCCCGACCAGAGAGGAGAACACTCTGGATCACTGTTACACCACCGTGCGCGGAGCTTTTCGCGCTGTTCCCAAGCCAGCCCTCGGCTTCTCAGATCACTCCATGATACATCTGGTTCCTGCTTACAGACAGAGACTAAAGCTCTCGAAACCTGCAGTGAGGAGCTCCAAAGTGTGGTCTGATGAAGCTGTGGAAGAGCTGCGCGCATGCATGGAATCTACAGACTGGGACCTTTTCAGAGCTGCCACAGACAGCTTGGATGAATATACGGACACTGTGACGTCATACATCCACTTCTGTGAGGATAGCATCATTCCAACAAGGACCAGGGTCATCTATAACAACGACAAACCCTGGTTCACTGCTAAACTCCGGCAGCTCAGGAAAGCAAAGGAGTCTGCTTTCAGGGAGGGGGACCGCAGCGGCTACAAAGCAGCTAAATATCAGTTCAGGAAAGAACTGAAAGCAGCCAAGTCCCGGCACAGAGAACGACTACAGGAGCAGTTTGGTAACAACGATACTGCTTCTGTCTGGAGGGGCCTACGGGAGATCACCAACTACAAACCCAAAGCCCCCCCCCTGTGCTGATGACCACAAGCTAGCTGACGATCTGAACTTATTTTTCAGTCGCTTTGATGCTGCCCCTGACACCTCTCCCTCCCCCACCCCCCACTACTCTAACGACCCACCCATCAGCCCTGCCCCCAGCCTAACAATAGCCGCTAAAGAGATTAAACAACTCTTCCTGAGGCTGCACCCCCGCAAAGCTCCTGGCCCGGACCACGTGTCTCCGGCCACTCTGAGACACTGCGCCAGTGAGCTTACTCCTGTGTTCACGGACATTTTCAACTCCTCTCTGCAGTCGTGCCATGTCCCGGCCTGCTTCAAATCCTCCATCATTGTCCCCGTCCCGAAGAAGCCCAGGATCACAGGACTCAATGACTACAGACCTGTAGCACTTACGTCTGTCGTCATGAAGTCATTTGAACGCCTGGTTCTCTCCCATCTCAAGTCCCTCACCTCCCCCCTCCTGGACCCCCTGCAGTTCGCCTACAGAGCCAACAGATCTGTAGACGACGCCATTAACCTGGCCCTCCACCACATCCTACAGCACCTGGACTCCCCGGGGACCTACGCCAGTGTGTCCTGTTCGTGGACTTCAGCTCTGCCTTCAACACAATCCTGCCATCCCTGCTCCAGGACAAGCTCTCCCAGCTCAACGTGCCCGATTCCACCTGCAGGTGGATCACTGACTTCCTGTCGGACAGGAAGCAGCGAGTGCGTCTGGGGAAGAATGTCTCGGACTCTCGGATTATAAATACAGGAGCCCCACAGGGCTGTGTTCTTTCTCCCCTGCTCTTCTCCCTGTACACCAACCACTGCACCTCCAGCCACGACTCCGTGAAGCTGATCAAGTTCGCGGACGACACCACCCTCATTGGACTCATCTCCAACAACGATGAGTCCGCCTACAGGAGGGAGGTGGACCGGCTGGTGTCCTGGTGCAGTGGTAACAACCTGGAGCTGAACGCCCAGAAGACAGTGGAGATGATTGTGGACTTCAGGAAGAGCACTGTCCCCCCGCCCCCACCCTCCGTGATGGACTCCCCCATCACCTCTGTGGAGTCCTTCCGTTTCCTGGGCACCACCATCACCCAGGACCTCAAGTGGGAGCCGACCATCAGCTCCCTCATCAAGAAGGCCCAGCAGAGGATGTACTTCCTGCGGCAGCTCAGGAAAGCCAAGCTGCCTGTACAGATGTTGGTGCAGTTCTACACGGCCATCATCGAGTCCATCCTCACCTCCTCCATCACCGTGTGGTTCGCTGGAGCCACAGTCAGGGACAAACAGAGACTACAGCGCATTGTGCGCTCTGCCGAGGAAGTGATCGGCCGCAGCCTTCCATCGCTGCAGGACCTGTACGTCGCCCGAGCTCGAGGCCGGGCTGGTCGTATCACAGCCGACCCCTCTCACCCTGCACATGGACTATTCCAACCACTCCCCTCAGGCAGGAGGCTGCGGTCCATCAGGACTAGAACCTCCCGCCACAAGAACAGTTTCTTCCCCTCTGCTGTTGGACTCTTGAACACTTCTTAACCTGTCCCCCCGCCCTTTATAAAGTCACTTTACTGCCCATCATACGTCACTTTACTTCACTGTACTGCTGTCACCTTACATTGTGTGCACCATGTGCACTTGTATATTGTAAATAGTAACTGTAACTCTATTTTAAATTTAAATTTATTCTTTAGAAGTGTTTTTTATTCTTATTTTTATTATCTCTTTTTGACTGTTGCACTGAGCCAAAGCAATTTCCAAGTCTGTGACCTCCCGTTACTTACGTTGGCAATAAAAATGATTCTGATTCTGATTCTGATTCTGATTCCTCTCTGCAGACTGGAGCACATGCCAGCTGAGCGACCGGGCCGTGTGCGGCAGCGGCATCAAGACCAGGATGTTGGACTGTGTGCGCAGCGACGGCAAGTCTGTGGACCTCAACTTCTGCAGAGAGGTGCGCCACCTACCTTTCAACCTCTATCTTTTTTTCCCCACAACTTTATTTGATGAACATTTTAACAAAAAGAGACATAAAGCATTCAGTTATATAAAAAAGTGAAAGTATGTAACTATAGCACACACACACACACATCATGTTGACAAAATATGCATACAAATACTGTAGGTTGGGCACAATTACATTTTGCAATATATTGACATGATTGCTAGTAATGGGATGCCACTGACACAATTCAACACTTCAATTCATTAATAGACCTGAGCTAGAACAAATTTAACTGCAGTATTAAGTAATAAATTGCCGGAAATGCGATTTATTCCACACAAAATGTTTCTGTTTTGTAATTACATTTAGGCGGTAGAGAGGATACAGTTTGATCCCCAAAATAGGAAGTCCCTGTTATTGTCTGTGTAGAAAATTATTGTGTTTTCTGTATTGAATTTTAATCTGTAGCACTTTGAGGTTTCATGGAAATGTATGGAGCATTGGAAATACATTTTAAAATTAAGATCATTTTAATCTACATTGTTGCTTTAGCTCGCTTTAACATCCTGGAAGACTCCCAAAAGAGTCATTTTTGTTTAGTATAATAGACGCAAGGTTATGACATTGCAGCGTTTTCATTATAGACTTAAATGAGTTGAGATAGTTCTGACTTTTGCCTGTGCTGTGCTGCAGTTGGGTCTGGAGAGGAAGTGGTCCATGAACGCCTCGTGTGTGGTGGAGTGTCCGGTGAACTGCCAGCTGTCCGAGTGGTCGTCCTGGTCCAAGTGTACGCACACATGTGGACTGGCCGGTGAGTCTGCCTCAGCATCCCATCAACTTTTGATCCACAAAGCTGTCGATTTGTCAACAACAGATCAGAGAATCAAACAGTTCAAATACAGGATATGCAGTGATAAAAACACATAAGGGGCAGATGAATGTCCAAAAATGTCGTTGAATGTCCTGGGCGATCATCACTGTCCACCTTGACCCTCCTGTATCGGAAAGTTAAGTTAAGGTTAGCATAGTCTATCCACATAGTCTTACTGTACCTCGTTGTAAAGTTCAGAACTTCTGTCAGACAATTCTACGTATGGCGCTAATGTAGCTGGTGAGATGGTAAACATTTGTCATAGCTAATATTCAAGCTGAGAACACCTCCGATCTACAGTACTTACCTAAAGTGGTCCTCTTTGAAAGTTAAGTAGGGGTTCAAATATAACTAGAGTGGCTCGATGCAAAATATTTTCTTTTTCCAGAGAGGAGAGACGTCTAGCAAAGTCGTCCTGTGTCTTTAATGTCCTCCGCTGGGTGCTCCTTTTGGTTGTCAAAATGAAAATACAAAAATATGGAGTAATAAAATCCAAATGTCTCCAAGAGTAATTTAAACGGCTTTAATCATACACAGACACATTACCAGTATTCCGTGTGCATCCGGGCTGGCTGCCATCTTTAATTCTCCAGCCAATCACTTCCTGGCGTCAGAGTTGTGAGTTGTTCCCTGCTGGAAGTTTCTCTGCTGCTGAGCTCATTCTGAAGGCAGCGTGTGCAGACTGCGGAGCGGGATGACAGCCTTCCAAACCGCTGCTTCTCCATTCTCTCTGTACGCTGTGTGCACGCTGAGAAACAAGCACAAAAACATGTTCTCAGAGCCCCCACCACCACCAGCCACACACACAGGCCAACGTTACAAAAGCATTTATACACAAAAGTACTTTGGTGATGTGACAAACGGGCTGAGGAGGTGGTCTGTTCGGCTGCTGCGGGGGAGACGGTACAGGACGATTATGGATGATTTGAAGAGATCAAGGAGCAGATTGTGCATGTGCTCATAATGATTCATAAATCAAGATTATACTTTTTGAAAAATAATACATGGAAATCAGTATTACATATTCTTCTCCAGGCATGGTTTTCCTTAATCCATCTTATGTAAAAAATGGCATATGATTTGTCTTCTATTCGCTTGAGGTAAAAATGCATTTGCGTCTCATTTTATTGATATAAAAATTCAGTTTTTTTCTAAATTTAAAGCACAACTCAATGTTGTTACTCTTGTAAAAACTTGTTTTCCTTTAGGATAAAATGCAGTATAGAAAATTATATTTCTTGCGGCGTTTTCTTAGAAAACTCTTACCTCCAGAAAATGTTGTACATTTCTTGTATCGTCAGTCGTCTCAAATCACATCACAGAATTGTCAATTCGTCAACTGCAGATTAAACAATTAGAACATGTGAAAAATACAACAATTAGACACCTCAAGGTCATTGGTTCATAGGATAACGGGTTAGCCAATGCATATAAATGTCCCTTATCATTCCCAGTCCTTCGACAACACAGTGAGATTGAATCTACTCCCATGGACAAGCTTCACGTTGAGAGCACACAAACCAGACAGAGAGCAACATCCCAGATTAAAAATAAATAATACAAAAAAACTGCAAGAAGAAGCTTACAAGTTAGATGCATGAATGTTTCATGTCGAAGTCCAAATCAATACTCACAACAGGGAAGTGAATAATAAAGTTTGTTAGGTTTCGCCTAGTGATGCACCTGCTCCCGTTACACAATCATGTTTGCCATCTCGGATCCACTCTGTACAAATATCGATTTCCTCTCAGCGCGCCGTTCTTGCACTTCTCCTTCACTCTGTGTATGACTTTGGAACCCAGGCAGCACAGTTCAGCTCATCCTCTCCTCTTTAATCCAGCCCACATCGCCACAAGTGAACAGCAGAACACTTTTGTCGCTCTTTTCACCGCGTGAGAAACACACTAACTTAACAAAAAAGCTGCCGCGTACAAAGTAATACCACGCGGATCAGGGCATCGATTGATCGGGCCATTACCGGTGTGTTGCGCGGTGCCTGGGGAGGGCTGAGCTGCGTGCTAGTCCTTGAGAGCCAGCGTTAGCCCAGAGCAAAGGTAGTAAACCAATACAGGCTTTAGCTGTTGTGATAAACCTAATCTGTCCCCAGGCTGGGTAGATACGTGAGTGCAGGAAAACCGCAAGCTCGTTTGCGAATTCTTCTTATACCTCAAAAGGACTTGGGCTAAGTTTTGGAGCCAGAGGAAAGCTCAAAAGGGGATTTTGAGTGTGTGAATGTAGCCAAGAGCGACCTGTCGAATACGGTGGATAATGTCATGACGGCTGGGTGTGAGGCAGCAGCTGGTACAGATAGTTTCCCAGCATGCCCCTGTGCCACTCTCTCAGCAGCATGCCCGCGGGACGCAGCCCAAGCATGACTGCAGAAATGACTAGTATCGCTGGATGAATGGGGAATGTAATGTTGTATTCTTCTTTAACCCTTTAGGCTGAGTTTCTTTCTGGAATTTAAGGTGAAAGAGTCTAAAGGTGGAGGCCTGGAACGTTTAGCGGGGAGAGAGGACCACTAAAATCAATAACACAAATAATATTATTATTATCAGGCACGGTGGCTGAGTGGATAGCACTCTCGCCTCTCAGCAAGAAGGTCCTGGGTTCAAATCCCGGCCGGACCAGGGCCTTTCTGAGTGGAGTTTGCATGTTCTCCCTGTGTCTGCGTAGGTTTCCTCCGGGTACTCCGGTTTCCCCTACCACTAAAAACATGCACAATAGGTCTGGCATGCGCCTCCTGTACTGGCGACCCCACTCCCATCTCTGTGTGTGGACAAATGCCCAAAAATAATAACAATTGTAAACCGCTTTGTGACTCTGGTCTGTGAAAGGCGGTATAATAATAATAATAATAATGCATCGGTTTTATATAGCGCTTTTTTGGACACTCAAAGACGCTTCACATGTGTCATTATTCATTCACTCCATACACGGTGGTGATAAACTACTAATGTAGCCACAGCTGCCCTGGGGCACACTGACAGAAGCGAGGAAAATGTTCATTCTCATTCTTAGTCCAGTCTTGTTATCGACTCTTTCTCGTTTTAGCTTTGGGATCCATGTGCACTTACAGTCTATGATGCACACACGCCGGTTTGTTTACAGCAGCGGCCACATGGGGCGGGGCCGCGTGACCGCGCGTCATAGGATATGACGCACTACGTTGACAGAAATGTTGAAATTAGATATTACTTATACATATTTTTACAGCATTTAAAAACGTAAAGATTGTTTTTCCTCCTACAGAAACCACATTCAAACTAGAAATAAAATATAGCCCTCACACTCCATTTTCAGACATTTTTGAAAAGGCTCCAGGAGCCACTCCAGGAGCACTCAAGAGCCGCATGCGGCTCCGGAGCCGCGAGTTGCCGACCCCTGGTTTAGCCAATGTGTGCTGCGTAAGATAAGATATATCTTTGTTCGTCTCTCAATGGGGAAATTGTGAATGTATCCACCACATATATTGTAAATATCTCCACTGTGAGATCAATAAAGTCCATATTATCTTATATTGATAATATTTGAGATGTCAGCGTCTGTACAATACTTTTATGGTTGATTGGGATGGAAAACAAACACTGAGCTTTATTCATTTCATTTTCATCAAAAGGTTCTGTGATTTTTGTTGAAATAGATTTAAGATTTAATCACCAAGGGAGGAATAAAATCGGGATGTAACTTTATTGCCCTGACCTCTGTCGCTGTGTGTCCTGGATTCAGGAGTAAGCAAAAGAGTCGGGTTTTCATCTATTTTCAAACAAAGCTGCTCACATAGTGTTGAGCTGCGTCGTGACTTGGTGTGGATCCAAAGTGTAAATATGATGCTGGCGACACATCTGCTCACAACTCTTTTAACTCGCACCTGCAAACGAACAGGTATATCTTTGAATTATGAATAAACATTGGAGTGTTATGGCTATATATGAATGCATTATTTACACCGAAATAGATGACTGAATATTTGCCAAAGAGTCTCCAGACACACTACAGCATACAGACAAAATCATTAGTTAGGGCTGTGTTTATTCTCCGTGCCGCAATGGACATTTTCAGAACTCATTTTCTAAAGTATAGTAAATGTAGCTGCATTGGCTTTAATTGTATGCACTTTGAAAAGGCCTGTTCTTTCTGAATTCTCACCAATTCTGAGTGAATGCATCAAAGTGCCGTAGCTGTCAATCAGACCTGGTAGCTCTAACAGACTTCTGGAAATATAGGCTTGGTTATGATTGTTATTTTAATTTTATTATTTAATTTTATTCAGAAAAATAGGAGGAAGGAATGACCATAGAAAGTCCATGTACACAAACATGCCTAAGATGCATCCCTCCACTATCCTGGTGGTGGTTCACTAAATGTTGTTTGCCTTGATTTGTTTGCAGTTTTTCATATACTTTGACATTATTGTGAGGAGGCGAGGCTTCTCACTGAGGAATGTACGTATTTTCAATCAAACTGAGCGACGTTTCAAGCAGAGTAACATTTCTGTGAAGCAGGTATCGGAACACATCGGTCACCATTGGGGCCTTGCGGAATGCACCTTGAAAAGCAGACATAAACTGCCAAACCGTCCACGCTAATATCAGGAACTTCTGGCACAAACTGCCCCTTCTGTCTAAAAGGCTCCTGCCTCAATCCTGTAATATTATTCACTCTGTTTTTCTGCATTTTAAAACCAAATTATTGCCTTTAAATTACTCTTGTCAACTTCTCAGGTGAAATCACATGGCTGTGTTTGAAGCCGGTCATTTAAAAAGAAAAAAAGGAGTCTGAGGCACTCTGTTATAGTGAAAAAGTAAAAGTCCTTTATTAAAATGGACTGCCCACGCGTTTCGACCAACAGCGAAGGCGTAGGCAGTCCAATTTAATACAGGACTTTTACTTTTTCACTATAACAGAGTGCCTCAGACTCCTTTTTTTCTTTTTGACCTTCTAAACTTGCTTAGATTGCCCCGTCTTTGAGCACCTGTTATCTGTGCCTCCTTCTACTCGTACCCTCTGCAGCACTCCTTGCTTTAAACTAACCGGTCATTTTTTAATTTTGGGAAAAAAGTGATTCTCTCTGTTGGTAGCATAGGGATTTACTATAGTGAAAAACTTGTTTTTCCCTGCATCCTTGTTTCACCATATATTTGGTGAATAATGTGATACTTTTATAAGATCCATGAAACGCACAGGGAGATTCCCTCCAGCTTTTTGTGTTATAATGTTTATAAATGGCTCATTGCTTGTAAAAACTCCACTTAAGACTCAGATGTGTGCGTGTGTTGTACGAGTTAGAGTGGTTGGAACCAAATATGCTGCTTCGTCGAAACCCTTTTCAAACTGTGAATTACTTTATCCTGTTTATTGTTTTTTGTCTCCACTGTATGTATGTTAGAACAATATATGACTATTAGTACATTACATCATGTTTTAAATCACAAGACAACCTATAATATAACACTGTACACACTCTCAGGACATGTAAAGTGCACACGATCACATGCTAATTAGAAGTGCCCATCTTCAACAATGTACACGTCTCCCTCCGCTGCAGACTTACACCGGGAGTAAGGGGCCCCTAGAGGCTGCGTGCAAGTGCGCTGGTTGCTTGGGACCGATGGATGTGTAGCGTGGAGGATCAGTGGGGCCCTGCGGTGCTCCATGGCCTGTTAGCTGCAAGATGAACTGGCAGCAGCTGGATCACACCAAGGGACTCGTTTAGCAGTGTACAGTGGCTAAAGCAAACACGCTGTTGTGTAGTTAAGTCTCTCGAATGGTTGGTTTGGTGTTAGACGCGATCGAAGCTGCCTGGATTCTACATATGTATTGTACTTAATTTGTCTTAGTTAGTACAGTGTCTTTAGTGCAGAGGCGCTCCAGGTTTAGAGCCATGGGCAAAAGTGCTGCATGGCTTGAATTATTGACAGCATAGTGGGAATATGTCAGAATGGACGAACAAGCTATAGTTGAAGTGAGCGCTGATACCATGTCATATGGAAGCAGCGGTTGAGTGGCCGATAGTTCCAGAGTAGAGTAAAATACTGTAAGTTTAGCTATCTAATTGGAAGTTTCCCCATTGTGGGACTAATAAAGATAATTCATTCAAATCTGTACTCATTCCACGTACGTATTAGTGATTTGTGTGCTACATATAAGTGCTATCATCTATACTTTCTACCGCAATATGGGATTTTGGGAATGGAAAAGTACAAAGGGTCAAAAGGTTGAAGTGTCATTTCTGGTACACTCATGGTGTGACATCTTTCCAACCTCAACACCTGCATGTGGACGCCAGATCTGGTGGGACCTATGAAACTAAGCAGGGTCTGGTACAGTGATAGGAGGCCTCTACCAAGTACCAAACCTTTTTTGTGTCCTTAGGCAAGACACTTCACCCCTGTTGCCTAGAATGAGTCTTGTGTGTGTTTATGGTTGGTGGTGGTCTGAGTTTAGTTTAGTTTGTCACCATTGTGTATGGAGTTAATGCGTCTTTGAGTGTCCAAAATGAGTCATTAAAAAAACTATGCATTATAATTATTATTACTAGTTTGAGTTTTAAACAAATGTATTTACTTATTATTTTTCTGAAAGTGTTTGTTACAACATAGTTGAAGCTTGGGAATATAACTTTATTTTCCATACATATAAAAAAGTATATATAAAAGAGTCTTGAAAAAGTAAAACACCAGACCACAACATTCTGAATTTATCTAATAGGAATCTTTCTTCCCTCTTCGGGCTGAGAGCAGAGTAGCTGAAGATCGATGGTCCTCTCTTCTTCACTTTTCTGTCTTGAAAAATCTGATCTGAAGATGTGACAGAGGCAAAAATTCCCAATACCATATGCATACTAGTGATGTTTTGAGCACTGCAGGAACTTACATGGTTCATTTGTGTGTGGTTTGAAAGTTAGGTCCACCAGCTTTAATAGCAGAACATATTGATTTCCCTTTCTGAAACTTCTGTGAAAAGCTGGAAGTGAGTGGGTGCTTGTATAACGCTTTACTTGAAAGTAGGCGGGTCAATTTAACAACAGTTTTAGAAGTTCCAGACAGAGAATCACTGTGGTCAAAGTGCACCATAACAAACGCGTAGATTATTCTTTTGAAGGGCTGACTTTTGCATGTAGACTTATCGCGATTCAATCCACACACATTTAGTCGAGTGATTCCCTGCATGTGTGTGGCTGGTTTCTTTGTTGTCTGAAAGCACATGCTGTCTGCAGAGATCGGGCTAATTGAGAGTTTTCCCACGTGCCTCCCCCTCGGCTGTTTGTGGAAATGCAGCAAGTCTGTTAATCCCCATCCTACACTGAAACAATAACACATTCTATTCACACAGGGGCGTGAAAAGTATCCATAGACGGCACTTCTGTTACTGTAATCTCTGCAGAATGAGAGTTGCTAAAGATATAAGTTTACAATGCCAACAATAGTTAAGGATGTCACTTCTGTATTATGCTGAAGTGACTTGCATGTACAGTATTAAATGAAAAACTAAATATCCATATTGATGCATCTGTTTGTTTTAGAAAAATGAAATAAATAAAATGTAGTTTTAGAATGTAGACAATAGTTATTGTCTTTTATGTATCATGCATGCAAAATTAATGCAAGATTAGATTTTTAGGGTTTTATTTTATTATTTAGTCAATTTGAATGGCTTGGCACAATTGAAATTTGGATATTGAACTAAAATGTTTGGGGTTTTGCACACACACACACTTGCACATACACACACACACACACACAAACACACACACGGACACACACAGGCCCTGACCTTCTCTGGTTATCCTTCTCGTGCTGATCTTGAACATACAGGAAAATTATAATATCGTCCATGAACCATGTGGGACAAGCCTACCGTTGGGACTCCAGATTCAGAACTAAGATCTGGAAAAGTCTTCCTTAGAATGTGAGACAGGCTTCTACTCTAACAATGTTGACATCCAGTATTAGTAGTTTTTGATATATTCATATGTTTTTGCAGTTTGAACGCTCTGTTGTTTGAATTGTGCCATACAGTTGATCTCACCTAGTCTTTCAGAATGCTATGAAGGAGACCATGAAAGTATAAGTGCCTTGTAGTGATGCCTTGTTGCTTGTTGTGTTGCAGGCAAACTGTGGAGGAGGCGCACGGTGGTCCAGGCCCCCCAGGGTGACGGCCGGCCCTGCCCCTCTCAGATGGAGCAGTGGAAGCCCTGTCCTGTGAGGCCCTGCTACAGCTGGAGGTACAGCGCCTGGTCCCAGTGCAAGGCCGAGGTCAGTACCACACCATCATCTGCATGTGTGGGGACAATGACCAGAGAGTTGGTCAGATGGATTTTTAGTATTGGACTGGTCACATATACATATTCATTTAATACATTTTTCTACTGCCTAAATTCACAGCAACTGTCATCACAAAGGACCTTATGAAATTGTCTATTTACAAGTTCAAGTCTTCCTGTTTGGAATGCAATGTATAGGAACCCGTCATCCACTTACGCACACTCTATGAAAGAAAATAATCAATCAGTAAATCAAGTATTCAAACATCATAAAAAATTCAGCAGCTCGTGTCAGAAGCAGCTGTTACATTCTAGCTGAGGTTACTCACTTTTTTATCTTCATAAACGCCACATTTATTCCTCGCCCCTAAAATTGCTTCAACAAATCAGACCACAAAATGCTGTCTTTATCTTTTGCATCATTTTAAGAGCAATCCCTGTGAGTCGCTAAATGACTCTTTGGGGTGGGAGCTGGGTGGCTTAGTGAGGGTGGTCCTCTCTTTTTCACTTTTCTGTCTGAAAAATCTGATCTAAAGATGTGACAGAGGCCATGAATACACACAGGTAAAAACTACTGATAGAAGCAAGCGGTTTTAGAGCCAGAAACCATGAATTTTATGACATAGTTACAATTGATGTGGTTTGAAAGTTAGGCACCCCAGCTTTTTCATTTCATGCAATTTAAAGTAAGTTTGTTGGACACTGAGGCAACAGTTGCTGCCGTGCACTGTTTAAATCTTGTCTGACGTATGGATTAGTTGAGACTGGCCTAAACGTTGAAACCTCACACACTGGGATTTGCTCTAACACCCTGGTCCTGTCTGTCTTTCCTCTAGGGGGCGGTGTGCGGCGAGGGCCTGCGCTTCAGGAACGTGTCGTGTTTTGTGTCGGACGGCTCCGGACAGCAGGAGCTCAGCCTGGTGGACGACGAGCTGTGCGGGGACGTGGACTTCGCTGTGGACGGAGACGCCAACGTGACGCTGGAGGAGGACTGCACGGTGCCATGCCCAGGTAACTCTCTCAATTATAGTTTGAGCACATGCTTGAACTATTACTGTTGTGTTATACAGAAGCTCGGAAACAGTACTAACTAACTTAACCACAGCATTTTGCCGTGTTTACAACCACAAACATAACACAAACTGTATTTAGACAACAGTAACAGGCAATTGTGAAGTGAATGGAAAAGGGTGTAGGAAGTGCGGTTTGAACAAATGTGTGTAATATCAATTAATAGACTTTGTGGGACTCCTTTTGCTGGAATCATGCCAAAGTCTTTTGGGTTTTGATGACTCTGAAATCTGAAAGCTTTGCCTATTAGTTTTTGCACAACAGCTCAAGCTCACTCTGTATACATGAAAGTGTTCAGGTCTTTCCACAGATTTTCAGTGTATTTTAAGACTTTGACTTGGCCATTCTAACACATGGATATATATAATTCAAAACGTTTCCATTGTCACTCTGGCTTTTGTTAGTGTGCTGCTGGAAGGTAAATTTCATCACAAGTCAGGCCTCACTTTACCACTTGTTTTTGTTATAACCTCATTTGGCTTTAACTTAAATGTTTTGTGTTGATTTGTTGTGGTCTTTAAATCATTGCGGTCATAAACCATGACAATCCACAAACGTTTGAGTTGTTTTTAGTACTTTTGCACCCACTGTACATAAATGAATGCTGGAGGAGTAAGTAGATCACTCCTTATTCTTTTGATCTGTGATTATACAAACACATACAGCACACACACATGAATCAGAGTGGATTACCCCTGCAGCAGCCAATATGCTCCCAGTCCAAAGCCATGTATTGTGATCTGCCTCTTTACACTTTTGTTTTGTATTAACAGAATTGTTGTCTCATTCCTCTTTTGCGGTAAACTTTCATGAGGGAAAAACAAATTATATAAAGGGCAGTTAAGATTAGCAACTCACCTCACTATTCTCACTGAGCATGTGATGCAGACAGAGCTGTAAGAGAACCATTTTGCCACCAATGAGTAAAGTCTAAAAAGTTTAAATGGTGAAAATGAGCAAACTTGATCCCAACGTTGATCTATTATTTAGAAGTCTGCTAATGAGGCCTATTTAGGAGCTTTTTAACCACGTCTGACTTTCTTGCTTTTTATGTCCCTGGAGTGGGGTCTTCCCAAGTTCACCCAGAGAGTTATTGAATACTCTGGAGCCTTTCATGTTAGATATTCTATACTAAATTGGAGGGTTTTTCACATCCTACACATGACCCAGAAAATTGAGAAAGCGTCTCATGCAGCTATGGTAAACAAAAACATAACAAAAACACCAATAACAAGACCAGATACTTTAATACCTTATTCTTTCTTCTTTCTTATGCTATAAGTGGAGATTTTATACTTTTATTTTATATTATATTATTATTATATTATGATTTAGCAAAAGATGTTATACCTGCTTCTTTATTATTCCAAAGTTAGACATTTTCACACTCTATGGACAGAGCAGTCCTATTGTTCCTTTAATAACTAAAAGCTGAGCATGTAATCTGCATTGGTTCCGAAGCAGGAGGTTTGACCCAGTTTTTGGAGTGTTGGTCCGCGTAGGATCCAAGGCTCGGGACGAGGCACTGAGGGGAAAAATGGATCTTTGATTTAGATTTCTCCTGAGTGTGGTATTGACCCGGTGCAATCACCCGACAGCGTGCGGCTGACTTTTAACACATCCTGAAGGGGAGAGAAGCAAGGTGCAGATAGAGATGCTGTCTTTTGAGGGTCAGGGGTGGTTCTCCCTGTGCTATTGCTCCACTGGGTTTAGAGTAGGTTAGTTTATTGATTTGATTCTTGATTTACTTGTTTTGTAATTCTTGAACTAATTTTGATCCCTTTTATTTTTTTCTCTGTAGGGATTAGATTAATGGATAGATGCTTCACTAGGGGATATTGTAGTGACCAACTGTAGACGATTCAACAATAAATTAAATAATGAAATCATAATGAAATCACTCTTACACAGTGCTCATTGTTAACAGTGGTCATTGCAGAAGGGATGATTGATGGATGCATGCAGTACTTGTATTGGAGGACTCTATCCTGAGTATTTACTGGCTAATAACCCAGAATGTCAATTACTCTCACAACATTGATCCGTAGTTACTGGCAGGATCAATAACTTAAATAACACATTTGGGCCCATTATTTATTAACTTAGTTTTAATTCGAGGGAGTGGGGCGGCTGTGCCAACTTTACATTGTGTCCTTAGGCAACTTCCCAGTTGTTGCCTTAACTGATGTGTGCCTGTGTGTGTGTGCTCGGAAGGGCATATGGCATATTCAAAGATAAGGTTGCTTCATCAAATCAACAAATAATAAATAGTAAAAAATTACTTAAATTCAACTGTGCGCTTGGGTAATGCTGTGATCTTTCTTTGTAGTTCTGTGAAGAAGAACGGTCTCAGGCGTGCGCACACGTCTCTTATTAGCTGTTGTTGTCTCTTCCAGGGGAGTGCTACCTGACGGAGTGGACCGCGTGGAGCCCCTGCCAGCTGAGCTGTGTGGGGGGAGAGGACCTGGGTCTAGGCTCAGTCCAGGTGCGCTCCAGGGCTGTGGTGGCTCAGGACCCAGAAAACCTGCTGCAGTGTCCGGAGCAGGAGCACGAGGCGCGACCCTGCACAGGTAAGTCTGCATCCAAACTGCTTTCACTGACTAGACAATGTGTTTTTCCCTCACTGTAAATAGGGATGGGGTATCAAAGGCATTCTATAACTATCGACCCACAAATAATATCTTTATGGTTAAATTAAAATTGCATCAAGCCACAAACTTTATCAATAATCAACATCCAAATGTCTAAAGTCTTTCTGTCTCTGTGGATGTGTTCTGTGTTGACGTTATTTTGTTCTGAATATGTTTCAATTCAATTCAATGTCCATGGTCAGTGGAGTATTCTGACTGATTTACATTATTATAGATTATTTCAAACACTTCAATATAACTTAATATCCCTGTTTGTAAATATATCTTAAATCCCAGTAGAGAATGATATTCATGATCATTTTTGTATTTTTAAAAAGTGAGCTTTTGTTCAAATGTATTAACACAGTATAGCAATCTAGTATACTGTAATATAATTTAAAAAGTGTATGTGTTTCCAAACGTTTTGATCACTGCTTCTCCTTGTGTGCAGAGGGCCAGTGTCTGGATTACAAGTGGAGGACGGGGCCATGGAGAGGCTCGTCCCGCCAGGTGTGGTGCGAGCGCTCCGACTCACTCAATGTCACAGGTTTGTATGCTCCTTTTTCCATTTTCCCACCCCACTATAAAGATGAAACCCAGGGCTTCACAGAGCACTTAAACCAAACCACCCTTACATGTAGTAAATGTATTGTTTTGGGGCCCCTCTTATAACCTAATCCATCTTCCTATGAGTTTCCTTTTACAAAGCACTTACACACTTTAGAAATCAGTGTTTGAGAGAATTGAAATGAATTGCAACAAATTGAACCCTCACAAAATTGTCTTTGTCCTTGTATGTCTTAATAGCCTTGTGTGAGCAATAGACCCCCCCAGAATTTCACTGCTTAATGTGTGACAAAACACCAGGAGCAGCTCTGTACGTCTCTGGTGCAGGTTGGCACTAATGTATGTGCGTTTTCAGAATCCGCGTTGCCATGGCACGTGTTAAATGCAGTTATAAATCCTGAGTGACACGCCTGACCTGCAAATTGGTGCAATAAAACAGTCGGATTCATTCATCAATGTGATCATATTTCTGTTTAAATGTGAGAGACAAGGCACAATTAAGAGTATGTCATTGTTATTGTCTGCTGTGATTGGTTAAAGCTCCAACTCCAGAAAGCTGCAGTTGATCCATTGTCTTATCTGCTTGGCTTAAATCACTTTTAATCAAACGGTTTCCATGGAGCAGGTCCAGTTGAGAACAATGAATCTATTTGATAATAATAACAATACAAATGTGTTTCATTAATGTCTTTAAGAGATCCTTTGTTCCTTTCGTAATAAGATTTCACAACAAGTCTGTCTGAGTTGATCATGTGCACTATTGTTTGTTAGGTAGAAACATTTATAATTTATGTATGTATTTGTTTGTATGGATAGATGTGTTTCAGCTGCTGGATACCTGAATTTCTCCTACAGGGGATCAATAACGTATCTAGCTTTCAAGACATCCAAGGATGCCTTACAATAGATTAAAAACATTTATTACAAAGCATAAGCCAATTTAAAAAGGTAGTTTTTTTTAAAGATGTGATTTGAAAATATAATCAATGTATTTTTAATAATTGACCCAGGTTAAGTATTACCTGCTGGACATTGAAGTTCTACAAGCCCATGTAAAGAATAGTGCTCCATGTTCATAATCCTTCTTGTTTCTGAGCACAGACTGTTCTTAAACACATTCAGGTTTGATCAAAGCAGAGGGAAGTTCAAAACCAGCTGCTGCTCAGACACAGCCTCCAGACACGGCTTTGTTTACCAGCACACAGATACAACAGTGTCTGGAACTTAAACACTCTCATTTGAAGGATAAACTGCTAAAAACGAGGAAAAATAAAAAACCCACACAAAATAAATAGAACAGGTAACAAAATCTAGGTCAACACCAGACATTTTCACTTTAAACAAAAAAACAAAAAAAAGTGTAGAGGAAAGTTCTGATTTTACATTCATTCTTTCATTAAATTATGTTTTTTATTTTAACCCTTTGGGCGCTAAAGTAACAAAATTGCTAAGAGCTCCAGAATCCAGGACACTTTCTATTCTATGTTCAACAAAAACGTTTACCTACATTTTTATCCGTTATTGAGTTAAAGTTAAATAATCACAACGTATTGATTATTCAAATACCGTTCGACTAATTTAGCAATGGATTAATCATGTTTTGAACCTTATTTAAGCGTTATTATTTATTATTATTATTATTATTATTTTAATTCAAACAATCCTACACATAAAGTAAGTAAGTAAGTGATCTTTATTTATATACCGCCTTTTCACTGCACATTGGAGTCTCAAAGCGGTTTACAATTGTTATTTTTGGGAGCGGGGTCGCCAGTACAGGAGGCACATGCCAGACCTATTGTACATATTTTTAATGGTAGGGGAAACCGGAGCACCCGGCGGAAACCTACGCAGACACGGGGAGAACATGCAAACTCCACTCAGAAAGGCCCTGGTCCGACCGGGATTCGAACCCAGGACCTTCTTGCTGAGAGGCGAGAGTGCTATCCACTCAGCCACCGTGCCGCTGAGTGGATAGCAGTCTGTGAAGATCTCCTCCAGGGGCATTACTTGAGCTTTGTTTTGGCTCAAATGTATAAAGAATCCCATATTCACTGACTTTTCAGCATCCAGACAACTAATCGATTGATCAAAAGTAAGCGTCAATTACAGACTAACATTTTAGAAGCTTCTGAATGCAGGACACTTTCTATACAGCGACTTGGCTCCACACAATATCTCACTA